ACTAAACAAATTTTTAATATAAAAATATTATTTTTAAATAAAAATAATTAAGTATATAATTTATTAAAAAATAGTATTACTTTAGTTCATATTAAATATTTTTTACTTTTATCTTCTCCATATTATTTTCAAAAACTAGTAAATAAATAATTAAATTTTTATATTCTCTCAAAATGGTTAAATGTTTCAAATTCTTTTCTTAAACATGAATTTTATTGACAATTTTTCAATTATTTTTAAAATTATTTTAATAAAAAATAATTATGATTACATAAATTTTTTTGTTAATTATAATTTTGAATATTTTTTATTCTTTAATAAATAATAATAAAATTTAAAATTCAAATATTTAAATTAAATATATTTATATAATTCTTTATTTTTTTAAAAATATATTTTTCTTCATATTTATTTAATATGGAACAAATTTAAAATTTAAAATCTTATAAATATGTTTTATATATATATATATATATTAATTCCATCTCTAATACTTTTATTTCAATTGTTTCTAATTCCATCCCTAAATTAATAAAAATAAAATTATGAAATTTTAGAGAAATATAGAGAGAGAATTAGAGATGCTTAAATTTTTGTCTCTAAATTCATAAAAAAAATTGTCTCAAATTCAATCTCTAAATAAAAACAACGTAAAATCAATACTAGAGATGGATTTGGAGATGGTTAATTTAAATTTTTGTCTCTAAATTCATAAAAAAAATTTATCTCAAATTCAATCTCTAAATTAAAAACAACGTAAAATCAATATTAGAGATGGATTTGGAGATGGTTAGTTAGAGAAGAAACTTTTTCATCTCTAAACCTGTCTCTAACATTTTAATTTTTTAAAAATTAAATTTTTAATAAATAATGATAGAAGTCAAGACGGATTTTGCGAATTTTTTTAAGATATATATAAGTTATCTTTAAATATATTTCTATATTTTAAAGTATTTTTATAAATTAAATCTATCTCTAAAAATATAATTAGTCCTTATTTTCTTCTCTATTAAAGGCGGTAATTATGTTGTTTTTAATTTTCATCTCTATTTTAATAATTTTTTTGTACTGGCTTGTTGCAAACTCTATATTTAATTCGGTTCTGCTAATTGATTGTGTCATATAATAATTATATATATTGTTTGTTTAAGCAGATTTCTACTCTAGGCTTCCACAATTATCCAATTTGCGTTAACCACACTCTTGATTGTTTTTAACTTATCCTCGAGGAGTAATTCGCGTGTGGCTGAAAGACTTCATTTTCTATTTTTAATTTGAGCTTCAGATTCAGTCTATATAATCGATTTCTTAATTGTTTCATGCAGTCGAATGACTCGCATGTATTTACGTTTTAGGAGTCTGAACAATGCGCTTATGCGCGCGCATATATATATATATATATATATATAATGATTAAGAAAATGCCACTTTCTTTTAAAACATAATGTCGAAAACAAAAATAATCCTATTGTTTACAATTCAAGACTAATTATCTCTTTTTTAATAAAAGGATAGTTATCTTATTCACTTTTTTTTTTATCATTTTTATAGTTTAAGACTATTTTTTTCCTATGATCAACTTCTCATTTAATTTAGAACTTCCTTCAAAAAATTTATTGTGCCAGCCACAAAGGCAGCAGTCAGTTTCTTCTAATTTGGATTATATATAATATTTCTAACAACTATGAAAAGGATATATATTTGACTTTCGATGAATAATTAAAAAACACATCATAAAAGTTATTAATAAATTAAAACACACACGTACGTACGTCCTTTGCTGCCAAAAACTTTCCAAAAGAAAGTGTGGCAACATTCCTAAATCGGGCCCACATTCTGTTACTTAATACATTTTTATTTTTCTTATAAATTATTTCTATCAATATCATTAATATTAATATAAAAAAATTAAAAAATAAAAATATATAAAATTTTAAATATATTCTTATATAATAAATTTAAAAAATAATACTCCATTCGTTAAAAAATATAAAATATTTTTAATTGAATTTTATTTTTAATAAAATAATTATTTATTTTTAAATTAACCTTATTTTTTTATATTTATCTCTATTAACTACCCTACAATAAATATAAAGTCATTATTAATAGGGGTACTTTAAAAAAAAGATAATGATTATACCTCAAAAGGCTAAAAATATCTTATATTTTTTAATATCTACCTCTTCAAAAAAAGTTTTACATTTTTGAACGGGGGGAGTACTATGATACTCATTCTCTTTCTCTTTCTCGTGAAATATAATTTTAAAAATACTTTTTAAATATAATTTAAAAAATTACACTGCGACTTATAAATGAGACGAAATAAATTTTTTAAAATATAATTTATAAATAAAATTGGAGGGAGTATTTATTTTCATTTAAACATAGCATGTGATAAAGGCTGTAATTCCCAATCAAAATTTAATTTAAAATCGTAAGTTTTACGCCTCTTTATCCGAAGTTTATGGGTCATTTAACTAAATCGAACGATAACTCTGTTTCTTCGAGCACAATTAACCTTATCAATCTTCTTTTTTCAGGAAGAAGAAAGGCATTTAATTTTGTTGTTCGTACCCAACCAATATAAAAGATTGCTCATCCATTAAACTAGTCAACATAATATTAGATCAGGTTAGTTTACAAAATTACCCATTTCTTTTTTTAATAAAAAAATTAATGGGGTTTTTTAGCTTAAATACAAGAAACAATTGTACTCTTTACATTCCTTGCATTTATTTAGAATTTTCCTTTTTAATCCTCGTTAAGTTAACACGATCAACCTAGTAGTGTTAAATACTAAATAACACATAAGTTAAAAAAATTTAATACGAACACATTAAAAAAAAAGGTTAAGTGTTTATTGAGTCATTTAATTTTATAAAAATTTTTATTTTAATCTTATAATTTTATAAAATATTTTTTTAATCCTAACAAATTTTTACATTAAACTTTTAAATATTGACAAAACATTATTAAATGTTGACACATTAAATTAATTTTTTTAAAATAACAATGATAGATATAAAGAATAATAATTTGAAACTAATAATATTAAGGTTAAAGAATTAAAAAATAATTTAAAAAATTAAGAGAGTAAATTAAAATATTATATAAAATTAGAGGACTTAAAGTGTACTTTAACCTTAAGAAAATAAACCTCAAGCATATTTAGGGCATCTTAATTGTATTTCTTGATCTATATGAACCAATTATTTGTTTTGTATTAAAAAAAATTCAGGAAACATAAGTTAAGATTATCTGTTTTATTTTTTCTGCCAACTATAAGACGGTTCTAATTTGGTTGGTGGATTTAACATACTATATTTATATAATTTGTTGTGAAGAAAATAGGTGGAAAATGGGTAATAAATTAAAAGGGGAAAAAGGGCGAACAAGAAAAAGGGGGATGGGACCCATCGGGAAGGAGAAGAATAAAGAAAGGGGGAGAGGGAAGGGAGAGGCAGAATCACATGGGCACACCAACCCCCACAAGGCGCTGATTAAGGAGTCCCCCCTCTTTCTTTCATTGGCCAACAACTTTCCTATTTTTCTTTTTATTCAATTTCCTCATTCATAACTATATTTTTTAAAAATTTAGCATAAAATTATGGTGTCACGGAGTGATTGGTGGCGTCGTCGTCCCTTCCCGATGTTGCTCACATGGCTGTACGGTCAGCCAGGTCATTTGGGTCCAAGCCTACCTGCCAACTCTCTCTTTTCTCACTGACACGCAACATATAACAAGACACGTTAGTGTACATGTTTCTTCGAATTTTGTACAGTTTATGAGACTCTAATTAATTACTCTCTCTTTAGCCTGCTTAATCTTAGACGGGAATAATCATTAATGTGCAAGATCAGTGCAAACCACTTCATCATTGAAATGTTTCCAGCCAAGCTTTCTGATGCGTCACTCTAATCTTTTTTTTTTTTTTTAACTGCTGGGTGCCTTATATTACTATGTTCGGTTTGGTGACGGCATTCTCATTAAATTCAACTCGTTGGGTGCAATTCAAGCCTCAAGCCATGCTTGTTACAATATAATCATTCTCTCGTATCATGACGCTTCCAACTTCAAATTAATCATTTTAACTCAATGCTGTGGCCCAAAAAAAAACCGTCGAACTTTTGGACCAAAAGCCCAAATGTCATAAAATTCTAAATGGGCTTCTTGATGGGGAGTGCCTCTTAAGATGGAGTTTGCATTAAGCCCCAAAAATAGTTTTCCTGGGCCTCTTCCAGAGAAGGGAAGATTGTCTCTACTGAAGGTATTGGCGCAAAAAGTCCGTATTGAAATCCTCTTTCTTTGTGTCTCTCGGACTGGAATAGAAGTCTTGTTCGCGGAAACTGAAAAATCTGAACCAATAAATTTGAAATTAGAGAGAACTAGAACGTGAGTCTTTACATTATTCATAATTTGTGCATCGTATGATCTCTTAAATTTATAAAATATATAGAATATATATATATATATATATATCGAGAGAGGGATCAGTAATTCTCAAGATAATTTTGGAAAACTGATACAAATTGTTGACAAATTTAATACAACTAACTAGATTAACTATTAGCAATGTTTTTAAACTGACTCTTTTTTGGCAAAAAGAAAAACTATTAACTATATTTTTAATTCTCGTGCAGTGATTAAAAGGATCCTATACCTATATATGGGATGCGAGTGAGTACGCCGGAGAGGAAAGAAAAGTGTTGCAAACTTTGCAGCGAAAGATTCTTGAAATTTAATCCGTCTTTTTTCACCCAATCTGTACTTTAATCTTATTTACCTTATTATAGTTAATACTTTTTTTCCTTGGGTCCAAGAGATCACAGTTGTTAATGCATAGAAATTGATTAATTTCTACAAGCCCTCGTGGGTTTTAAGTGGCATGTGATAATATATGCACTGTTCCGGATCCCTTTTTCCACTGACACGTCACCATACCAATGAGAAGAACCCTCGGTTTCGAGTGTTGTAGAGTGGGTTTTAGAATCACCCATCACTCATTCTCTTGGCTTGATGGGATCTTCTGCTGAAGCTCGTAGTACTCGTTGAACTTCATCCCTCTGAACACTGCTTCTTCCGTCTTCATCAACTCTGGCATTGGTTCTACCACCTTCTCCAAATCTGGTCCATTCGCAGTCACCACAGATTTCCTCGTCTCCTTCTTGTTCACAACAGCTCTGTGCAAGACACTTTGCTTACCACCTAATTTAAACCCAAACCCCACACAAGTGTTGGATCAAAATATGACATCCACAAGACCAAACCATGCATAAATTGTCTGCACACCAGTTGCTTGTGAAAATGTTTCTTGATAAATACTGTGTTTTTGTTGTTAAGTCAACGAAAATATAACCTTTACCAGGTCAACCAAAAAAAAATGGAGTTTTTGTACATAACAAATGGCTCGGGGTGAAGATGGGGTTGGCCTCAAGTTGATCTGCAATGTTGACGAGGATGGAGTTGGGAAGGGGCTAACATTGACCCACTTGCCGTTGTGGCTGATCTGAAGGCCACTGATTTCAATCTGAACGTGGAGGACCAAGAAGCCATGATCTGAGTGAGGGTGCATGCCCAGAGCCAGTTCGGGTTGAGGGCAAGGTGGGTATAGGCTTGCAATGGACACCTGAAGACCACTGTCAAAACCAGTGGCCTCGGCTACGGCATTCGGTTCGAAACCCATGCTCCCTGATATCCCTATTAGCAGCTTCGTCGCCACATTCCTGGGCGCTCATCAGTACTCCTTCGCAACATAACTTATTAGGCGTGTGTGGACTCTGAATTTCTAGCTTTTTTACAAACCGGAAGCCTTGAGGCTTGTGGGGGAAGGCCTACTGTGGGGGGGTGATGACCTTGAGATAGTCTCTCCCATAGCGAACATCCTCGGACTTGGGGTTGAAACTGGTGCCACACCTGATGGGAGTTGACACCCCCTTGTCAACAGACTCAGCCTTGTCCTCATCAGACAAGTTATGGAATTTCCGTGCCAAGCTTAGCACATCATCTGTTAAGCTTTCTGGTATGCCATGGTTGATAACCTGCCAGATATGGAGAGAACCAGGAAAATCATTTCAATCTTCTGATATGACCATAGTACACTATAAACACTGACATCACACTACATCAAATGAGCAAGTATAATACACAGTTGAAGTAATCTAAGAAGCAAAAGTAGTTTTGAACAATTGATATTACCATGAAGAAGCCCCGTTGCTCACAGGCTTTGGGAAGGTGTTGGACACCTTGGGCATGAAGTTGAGGGTCGTCTGAAAGGAGGAGGGAGAAGTCAATGATAGGGATCTGGGCAGTGAGTTCATCTGCAACTTGCCTCTCACGAGGGTCTGCGAGGAAGTTGTAGGTGTAAGGGATGGCTGAGCGTTTAGCTGATTCAGAAAGGGACTTGATGCTACAAATATCTGTGGCCCTGATCTCTGGTGTTGCAGATGGCAAGTTCGCAACAGGATCCATGGAGAAAAGAGAAAGAATAGATGGTTCAGGAATTGAGGTTGGGTGTGACAGCTAATTAAGGGGAATGGTATGAGTATTTGTAGAAGAGATTCAGTGCTCGGCTACTTGCCAATGCAGAAACTATAGTTAATTGGGTCAGAGCTAAAATATAAAAATATCGTGTCCACTAGAAACACTATTGTCTTTTATGAATTTCTTTCCTTATCTTTTTTAATCTTTTAGGTGTTGAAACTGCGATGTCCATAAGATATATCAGAGTTAGGAAGAAAATAATTGATAGATTTGCATGTAAAATACAAGGAGAGGTGCTTCACAAAGACATCATCCCTTGCGACTAACATGCCATATGTTTCCCTTACGAAATGATGCCTTATTGGCATTTTTGCAAGTATTTCCAAATTCCAATGTTGTCGTCGCCTTCCCATCCACCTTTTACTAATATTTTATAAATTTAGGCCAATTTATTTTAACTTATTTTATGAAAAGTTACTTATTTTTCTTAAAAAAATATTTTATTGGTTTTTGTGATATTTGCTTAAATTTTTAAAAATAATCAGAATTTAAAAAAATCAGATTTCTAATTATTTTAAAAAGCTATTTTAAATATCTTTTAAAAATAATATAATACAGTAGATGAGAGAGAATGTTTTAAAGAAATGAAATACTCAAAAAATATTATAAAATTTTAAAATAATAAATTATTTTTATCAAGAAAGATATAATAAAATTTAAAAATAATCAACTATAATAACTTTTTTTTTATCGTAGTCAATCATAAAATAATGTCTTCTTTTTATAAAATCTCTACAAATTAAACATCTTTTTATAAAATCTCTAAACTACCTAAAAGTTATTTATTTTTTAATCTTAAATAAATAAGCCCTTAATTAGAAACAACTTGTTATTCGTATTTAAAATTTATACAATTCAATAAATTATTAGACCATAATACATGTGACTTAAAAAAGGTGTCTTTTTCTTTTTTCCTCTTTGGCTATAATTCACGGTTCACATGGATCTTCAAACGGTAATATAACATAACAGCATGCGTTAATTTTACTTTCATGTGTTATGTTAGCATTTTTGGACAGAAATTATATTCCAATTATATATGAAGAGACAATAGTACAGTACGATAAAATAAGAGGGCCTCGTCAAAATCCCTCTACAAAGGATGGAGGGAATAAAGAAACTTAATATATCAATATCAAAACTAAAATTTAAAGGATAGAAAAAATTTGAAAACTTTTATTTGCTACCAAACTTCATGGTTAATACATGATTTATTTATAATTCTGTAACCATAAAAAGCAACTTACAATTTACAATAATATAAAATTAAGAGTAGAATACAGGGGTTAGGAATATTCCGTTCAAGGTTCTAAAACACTTAGTTTTTTTATTTATAATTATGTTAAAAATTTTAAAATTATTGTTTTACCCTTAATTGTCTTCTCTGCCTTCCAATTTTTTTTTAAATATTCTATGATTAGTAAATTAGTGAATAGTGACATGTTGGAAAGTATTGACTTCAACATGGGGGGACAGGCAAGCTAATGTTTCAAAGGGGTCTGAATTGTTGTCCACACTCCACAGTCCACTCAGAGGGTCCAAGGCTTAAGCCCATTACCATATAAGACCACACTCATGCATCCCAGGTCCCAACCAACCGAACATGATTTGTTTGCCAAAAAGGACTGGAATTTCAATGCATCTACATCCTCAGCTGTTATCGAAGCATGAACCAACTACACTTGTCTTAATAGCTAGGGGCTTAAACAGTTTAATTTAGGATTTTATGTTTGACTTTCAAGATATGTAGCAGGGTCATTGAGCATGTAAAGTATGCCTCATCCAGTGGTACCTATAAAATCTTTTCATGGAGGGCTCCACCTAAACAAAAATTTAAATTAGTCTAAAGTAAATTGAGTGAACAATAAACCAATATATTTAAATATTTTGAGATACTGGGTGTGAAAGTAAAAAAAAAAAAAGGCATTTGCATTCGAGTGATAACCACATGTTCCTGACCTTCATCTCAATTTAAATTGATTCTTGACATTGATTTAAATTAATTTTCAAATATTTTTAATATTATATTTGTTAATCTAAAAATTAGAAACAAATTTAAAAATTTTAATAAATATGTTCATGATCAATATAGCCAGAACAGATTTAGTCTAACAATTCAACTTAATATTAAAATTTTTTATAATTTTATAATTTAATTTTTCAAATAGATCCTGAACGGTTTAAATATAATTTAAATAACTTGATTTGATATTAAAAATTATAAATTTATAAATTAATCATTTAAATATACTTTAAATAATATATATTTAATATTAATTTTTTTATATTTTTTATTTTAATAAATATAATATCAAAAATATTTAAAAATTAATTTAAATAAACGATAGAGATATTTTAGGCTGAAATGGAAGGGAGGGGGAAAGCGGACGCCAACGCAGGACACAAGCTGATAAAGCCACAGGCGAAATTGTGTTTCGCTCCGTTTTCTGAAAGTTGAAGAAGAAACTTTCACTTCAAGTCTACTGTCTTGACTGCGAGATCTAATCAAACAATTGTCCGTCGTAGTAGCAGCATGGATAGCGTGGCGGCACTGGTAAATCCGAAGTCGCATATTCCATTGGTCTTTGCGGAGATGCCTACGTTCAAATCACAACAGATTACTAATACTAATTACTTAAATTATTCTCACTTCAGCTTCTTTTGTCATATGTATGATCCACCTTCTTAGCCTTCGAGAATCCTTCACGCCATCGAAACAGAGCAACTATCCAGCAGCTAAGAACCCAATGAAAGTCTATGCCTTATGGATATCGCTGGCCGTTGTTCTGGCCTTAGCGAAGATCGGAGTGACGGAACAACGCATACCCACTACTTTGGATGGCCCGTTTAAGCCAGTGACTCGCCGTTTCGACCCATCGCTTCGTCGGGGCAGCGATGACTTGCCCATGACACATCCAAGGCTCAAGAAGAATGTCACCTCAAATTTCCCGGAACAGATTGCTCTAGCGATTTCTTCGCCTACTGCAATGTGGGTTTCCTGGGTTACCGGTATTTATATCTGCAATCTATAATTCTTTCTATTAATTTCTGATGTGATCGATGTTCGAAAGGTCGGCATTGTTATTGGTTTTTTTTTTTTTGTTTTTTTCCATATTGGATCAGGGGATGCCCAAATTGGTTTAAATGTGACCCCTCTTGATCCTTCATCGGTTGGAAGCGAGGTGTGGCATGGGAAAGAAAGTGGGAAGTATAGTAGCGTTAAGAAAGGAAATTCTCTAGTTTACAGTCAGTTGTATCCCTTTGAGGGCCTGCGGAATTACACTTCGGGCATTATTCACCACGTCAAAGTCGATGGTACGTATGGAATGCTTTATAGTTTGTTGGTAACTCGTCAGGTTTAGTCTTTATGGATTTTGTTTCGAACGAGAATAAGTGGTAGGGAGCGGTGATCACTGAATTAACTATTAAGTGACTAAGATCCAGCACTTGTCAATCTGAAAAGAAATCGTGGAGATCAGACAGATAAATTTGCCCACCTCATGTAATGAAATTGCCATTGGTCAGGGTAACTGATTTTCCCGGTTTACCTACATTTGTTATACAGTTCATCTGCAGCAAGATGCTGCGTTGCTGCGGATTTTTAAATTGATGAACATCTAAAGCTCTTTTTATATTGTTTTTTGAGCTAAATGTGTAAATTTAACTATCAGCCATTTTTTTATATGAGTAAATTAACGTACCTTCACTTGATTGTTGGACAAGTGGATATGAGTAAATTCTTCCCCCATAATAAAGAAATAAATCCAGAAATTACTCCTCACCTGCCACCTTCACCGGAAATCTCCTCCAGCGATTTCCCCTTCGTCTCCGGCACTAGAAACGTGAACATCAACCCGAACAAGTTAAGCACATGCAGAATTATCAGACAATCCCTCATCCCAATGGTGCTTGAAGCATACAAAAACCCAAATGAGATAATGCGTGGTTCTTGTTCGATAATCATTTACTCTTCAATTCATTAAAGGCTGTGAGTGGGCATTTCATATTTGCACTTGCTTCTCTTTAATTCAGTGCTTTTCTGAGGTGAACATTGGGAACTCTTGCTGCCATAAGTCGAAGAACAAAATTCTTGCAGATTGCTTTAGAGTCCAACTCTTCTTCATGATTTTGGTCACATTTGATGCACGAGCAAAACCAGTAGCAATCTTCGTGAGAACGGTGAATCTCCGGTCCGGTGAAGTCAACGGACTTGGTCGCTTCGATCTTCCCGTAGAACTCGTCGTCTATTTCCTCTTCTTCGATCACCGGCAATGATGGAGCTTCTGCCATATCCTATCCTAAAGAGCTTTCAAGCAGACACACACACACACACACACATGAGAGAAGCAGAGGAGCGTGAAGGAAGATGTTCAGTAGTAGTCATCGAGAAGCAGAACGAAGAATTAAAACAAAAATAAAACAAAAATAAAAAAAACAGCAAAGAACAAGTGCAGAACGAAGAAATCAAAGAAGCAGAGCAGCAAAAGTGCAGAACGAAGAAATCAAGCGGAGCATAACGAAGAAGGAAAAATAGAAAGGACGCACCTGGTTTATGAGCACAAATTCAAGTTAAGCTAGGGTGGAGAAGACGCACGAAGACGCACAAAGTTCAGACAGAGAAGAATGGAGGATGACGGAAGGAAAAGATGTACGATGAAGAAGAAAAATGGAAGAAGACAGTCGAAAAATTTATAGCCATATAGACAAAGCTTCAGTCAAAAGACTGGTCACTAACATCTGTCTCTTCAAAATTAACAGGAGGCGTTGGTTCTTTGTTTTAAATTGTTGATGACTTATTTTGTACCACCTCATAATATAGACTATCTAGTGGTTCTCATGAAGTAGTTCGTAACTAACTTTGCACCTTTATCCTTGTTTTTTATGCATTACATTTTCATAATTTTCTGACATCTGTCTTAGTAATCCATCGAGGCTGGTTGATGGTTTTTATTGATGATGCAGACCTTTTGGCAATGAGGATTTGGTTTGATAAAAGTAATGTTATCATATGAAAGCAAATGCATGGTGTCAAGTAAGCAGTCTTATAATACTCATGAATAAAGAACTTTTCATAGATATCTCTTTCTTGCTGTAGGTCTTGAACCTGGAACCAAATATTATTACAAATGTGGAGATAGTTCTATTCCAGCTATGAGTGTGGAACATACTTTTGAGACTTTTCCAGTGCCAGCCCCAAACAGTTATCCTCGTCGAATAGCTGTTATTGGAGATTTGGGGCTGACAAGCAATTCCACCACAACTATTGATCATCTAACTTACAATGATCCTTCAATGATTTTAATGGTTGGAGACTTAACGTACGCAAATCAGTACCTTACCACAGGTGGGAAAGGAGCTTCATGCTATTCATGTGCATTTCCGGATGCACCTATTAGAGAATCATATCAGCCCCGGTGGGATGGGTGGGGAAGGTAAAGATATTTTTAGAAGTTCATGTGTTACTCTTGAGACTTAGCTAGCTAGGTGTTCATATTTCAAAATTTTTGTGAATGAGAAGGCCTTCCAATTTGGAAGAACTTAATTGTTCTAAAATGTACTGAAAATTAATTTGCTGTAAGTGGTGTGTGTGTGTGATATTGGGTATGTCTGTCAGCTCATTAGTTATTTGTTGAGCTTAGCTATTAGTAAAATTGACAAGGAGATGATCTTATAAAAGCATTATCTGCACAAGAAGCATTGGTCTTTGATTGGTGCTGCTGCTTCATTTTGTTTATTTATTTACTCTGTACATCCTAAGATTTAGACAGTTACTTGAAAATTGTGGTAAACAACTTTTGTCATAATAGTATTGAGATTGACTTTCATAATGGTGGTTGTGAAATCTGTATTCCTACAGTATGGAATGGAAGCATTAGTACTTTTCTAGCTACTGTTGTTTTTTTGTTTAATTATACTGCGCAACTTGTTGAAGAGATGATATTCACTGATTCACTGAACATATACAATTTTAAGCCCTTACTAAATGTCCTGACCACCCTTATTTCCCTGTTGTAAATTTTATTGGTGGTGATAATTCTGCTTCAACCATTGCTTTTTTCCATATGATTGAGAAAAAAGATAACCGACAAAGCATACATCTGTTAGAAAGTTCTATTTTATGATTGACTTAATGTTGAGATTAAAATGCCAGGTTTATGGAGTCGTTGACCTCTGAAGTGCCTATGATGGTTATTGAAGGGAACCACGAGATTGAACCTCAAGTTGATGGGATCACATTCAAATCTTATCTGTCAAGATTTGCAGTTCCTGCTGAAGAATGTGGCTCGAAGAGCAACTTTTACTACTCTTTCAATGCTGGGGGTCTCCACTTTATTATGTTGGGAGCATATGTTGACTACAACAGGACCGGTACCTGATAGTTTCCTTTACCGTGTTTAAACCAGTAAACATGCTAAACTTTAGATGATTGCGACTTACTACTAGATGTATTTTACTGTGTCTTCATTTCAGGAGCACAGTATGCTTGGCTGAAGCAGGATCTCAAGAGCATAGATCGTAGTGTAACCCCTTGGCTGGTAGCTGCATGGCATTCTCCTTGGTATGACAGCTATGCCTCACACTATCAAGAATTTGAGTGCATGAGGTTGGAAATGGAAGCACTTCTGTATCAATACAGTGTTGATATTGTTTTTACTGGCCATGTAAGTTAAAATTACTTTACTTTCTACCTGCTTTATAGTTGGGAGTTGTAAATCTCATTATATTTGAAAATATTCTAGATTCCTAAGTTAAATCTCATTATAGTTGTTAATCAGATAGACTTTGTCATGATGGGATATTGCCACTCGTTTTTGCTTATTTGGTTATAGACTGAGATTCTTGGTTAAACAGTTAAATATATAGATAAGCCAGTTATTATTATTCCACCGTTTATGAACTATGGATATGCATGGTTTTGATGAACGTATGAGCATAATTCATACCACCTTGTCGCATTTTGCTGCATATTGAAAAGCTAAATATATGGATGAGGCACTTATTACTATTCCACCGTTTATGAACTTTGGATGTGCATGGTTTTGATGAACGTATGAGCATAAATTGTACCTTGTCACATTTTGCTGTAGATAAAATTGACGTTTAAATGGAGTTTTCTTAAATACACTTAGTCAGGTGCATATGACTTCATTGTTTACATAATATTGTCACATTCCATCTTGTAGGTGCATGCATATGAGCGGATGAATAGAGTTTATAATTATACATTGGATCCATGCGGACCTGTTTACATTACTGTTGGAGACGGTGGAAATATTGAGAAAGTAGATGTTGATCATGCAGATGACCCTGGGAAGTGTCCTTCCCCTGGAGATAACAAACCAGAATTTGGAGGGGTTTGCCATTTAAATTTTTCTTTTGGTCCTGCCAAAGGTAGCTTCTGTTGGAACAAACAACCTAATTGGAGTGCATTTAGAGAAAGCAGCTTTGGACATGGGATACTGGAGGTATTTTCTTCAGATTATGATTTTCGTTTCCATGGGTAAATTACTCTATCCTCCGATGGGGGGAAGCCAAATTTACGGTCTGATAATACGATTTTTCTCTTGTAGTAGGTTTGTACACTATTTTACTACTAGCCTTTAGGTCAGGATTTCATAGCTCATCAGACCATTCTTGTATTTCTATTTTGTTTTGATTAGTTTCTACATTCTAGGTGCAAATTTGCTTTCAAGGTTCACCTGCTAAATATGGAGAACTAAAAGAATCTGACCGTTTTAAAATATTACATTTCTCCCTTGTTTTGACACGGACGAAACCCATTCATAAACCTTTTCAAGTTCAGCTTTTGTAATGTCTTCCGTTGTCAAAATTATCTTTCTGTTATAATGCAGGTTTTGAACTCTACATATGCCTTGTGGACTTGGCATAGAAATCAAGATACTTACGGGGAAAATGCTGTCGGGGACCAGATATTCATTGTGCGGCAGGCTGAGAAGTGCTTAAAAGACTCAAAAGTGATTACTTAGTTCCATACTGAAGTTTTTTTACTGCTTCTGAAATCTCAAGTTTTTTGTTGGTTTTATTTCTCCCTTTGTCCATGCCAATCTCAAGTGGTATACAACGGTTTATAGGGAAGACCTCAGGCGAATATCACCTTTAAGTGCTTTGAGTTCCTGGTCAAGGTGATCTGTACTGCAACTCTTATTATTGAAAATGTGGCCTATTGGTCATTTTTCTCGCATGCCAAACTTACATTAGCTAGTTTTGGCATCAGTTACGCTCTTCTTTTTTAAGATATTAGAAGATCTCAACCTGCTGTGTTGGGGATTAGAAAAAATCTTTGTTTTTTTTTTTTCAAACTCCATCTCAACCTGTTATCTTTTTTTCTTTGTTTGATGTGAATTTGTTGTGCGACATCATGAAATATTCAGTTTCTTTACTGACTCTTGCTTCTTTTATCCCCCTATCACAGTTAGAGCAATCTCTTGCTCCCTCTTCTTCTGCTGCTTCCAGAAGCCTGTCTCATGTAAGCTCCTTCCTGGTGTTTGCTTCTTCAATTTACAGCCCTCTCTTCTGTGATGTAGAACAATTCTAAACCATGATTATGAATTTGTTCTTTCAAGGATTTCTCTCTCGTGTCACAGTTCTTGGGTGGTCTCTTTTTGCTTTACCTTCTCAGGTAAACCAAGTCTGAATTGTCTAATGTTGGAGCGCCTAAGTGTAACTTTTTCATATTTTACAAATTAAATCAACGGAAAATTCTGTTTAATTATCTACCCCACAGAAAACTTGTTTCAGTTTCTATTTCTGATTGGCCTCGTTTCTCTTGATCTATAGTTAGAGTGAAACAAGGTGCTGCAAAGTTCCTCAGCCAAAGTTCGCCTCCAGATAGTGGTGAGAGAACTTCATTCTTGTTTCATGTTTTATTTCAACGTCTGATATTAACAAGATTTCATTAATCGCGTTTACAGGGATAAAATGATTTGTACATAAAATCAGAACGATCAAATGCAGAGGCCTGGCCGGCCCGTCTTCAACAATCAACAGTGCATTTCCTTGAGGGAGGTACTTTAGGATGTTTGTCTGTGCAAGAAATTTCATATATTACTATTTTAGATGGATGTGGCTTTATGTGGTGTTTGTGTGAGGGAGATGAAGTGAAAACGAAGCAACAGATGACTGCTGAGTATGACCAATAAAGTTGCCTTGTCATAAATGAGAATGCCATAAAGTGCGAGCAGGGAATGGAATTTTATCATTCATATGTGATTTTCTTTTTAAAAGAATATGTTTTAACTTGGCCTACAATGCAAATTAAATTCCTTAACATTACTTTGGTTATTTATTTTTTTCATTTTTATATTTATTTTAAATTTAATATAAACCTGCCAAGTTAACTCACAGTTTAGATCATCATTTGTATGTCCTTGATCAACCTCCAGGTGCTTTTACAGCATATGGCAGTTGATGATTGATGGCTTCTGGGAGCTCCTTTTGTATGCTTGTGTGGTAAATGAATGAATTCGATTTCTATTAAAAAAAAATTGCTTAATATGCTATTTCAATTTCATGATAAAAATGTTATTTTATTTTATTTATAAAGTCATTAAAATGTTCATTTCCCGGACATTTGCAAGTTGTTTGATAGCAGGTTTTAATATAAATAATTTAACTTCGAATTATGTGGTATAAAAATAAGAAAATGTATAAACCATTTGACATGAGCATGAGGAAATTTTAGGGTGGAATAATTTAGGGGAGCCTTTTTATTCACTTTAATCCATTTTGTATCATGGATTTGGATTCCCTTGCGTATCACACTCAGTTACTTAGTTGCAGTGTAAGGGGAAAAATTATGGATATGATTTCTATATCTTTATTTGATTTTATAGAAAATTCATCTCTTTCTTTTACATTACACTTGAGCAATTGAGGGATTTGAATCCTCAAATTTAAAACTCTAGGGTGGTAGATACATTTCCTAAAATTAAAGAATCATTAATATATTTAGTATATTTGAATTTAATGTTTCTATATTAACTTGGATTCATGAACAAGGAGAAAAAATACTCATGAAAGTTATAATTAAATTATTTGAATATACCATGGTTTGAAAAATCAGACCGAATTGATCGATTGAATTGGTGAATTAGTGAACTGGTCACATGTCCGGTCCGATTTGTTGCATAAATTGGATGGAGTTCAACTCAGATTTACTTAAATGACTCAAAAAAAAAAAAAATGGAGCAGTAGTTGTTAAATTAAGGAATGATGTGGATCACACTGTATTCAATACACACACACGGAGATTACATTGTATGTGCGTTAACATTTTTTAAAATGAAAAAACAATTGATGTATCTGGTGTATAAATACATTCCTATACTAACTTAAAATCACGAATGTTTGACCCAAAAAGAGAAACTTGAATTCATGAATGAAAGGGAAAGAGAAGATTTAATGTTTCATAAAAGTCATAATTAAGTTATTTGAATCTTGAGAGGTGTCATAATTCTCATACGATAATATTTGCATTTATAATGTTATATATATCGTTAAGTACTGTAAATGACGGTAATTGTTAAATTAAGGAATGACGTGTGCCATCAGGAGGCTCAAGTGAAGGCCACAGGGTAGATGGCAATTACCACGTCGGTTTCACCCCCAAACGTCCCCCATTTTGGGGAATTAATTCCACGTGTCAAAAACTCAGCAAGCTCATGCCACATGCATGCCCGCACTTTACCATTTCCCACCTTTCCTTCTCTCTTCTTTATAAACCTCGGTGGCTCAGTGCTTCCTCTAGAGTTCCAGACCACTCCTGCTACTTCTGCTGTTTCCTGCGCTCTCTCTGTCTATACCCTTACAACATCTTTGTGGGTCACTCGCTTCCAAGTAGCCATGCAGTACAAGAACTTGGGTCGATCGGGTTTGAAGGTGAGCCAGCTCTCATACGGAGCCTGGGTCAGCTTCGGGAATCAGCTCGATGTGAAGGAGGCCAAGTCTCTGCTCCAATGCTGTCGTGACCATGGCGTCAACTTCTTCGACAATGCTGAGGTCTACGCCAATGGCAGAGCCGAGGAGATCATGGGCCAGGCTATTCGCGAACTGGGGTGGAAGAGGTCTGATATAGTCGTCTCCACAAAGATCTTCTGGGGAGGGCAAGGCCCCAACGATAAGGGTCTATCTCGCAAGCACATCGTCGAAGGTACCAAGGCATCCTTGAAGCGCCTCGATATGGAGTATGTGGATGTGATTTATTGCCACAGGCCTGACACGTCGACTCCGATCGAGGAGACGGTTAGGGCTATGAACTATGTGATTGATAAGGGATGGGCTTTTTACTGGGGGACTAGTGAGTGGTCGGCGCAGCAGATCACGGAGGCATGGGGAATTGCAGAGAGATTAGATTTGATGGGACCAATTGTGGAGCAGCCAGAGTACAACTTACTGTCCAGGCACAAGGTAAGAGATTTATGTGCCTACTCAACAGGGGCTTTTAATTTGATTCTCCTTTTCCGGGATCTAGTGCGTGTCCTCTTAGGTTTTCGGAAAAGTTTTACTGCCTATTTGGTCTTGAGGATCAATAGTTGATGTGGTTTCCGGGGATTTGCTTTCTTCTTTCTGATTGGAATTTGGACCTTTTTGAGGACTGTAAATTTCCTATGACTTTCTCATTTTAGTCGCTCTAAAGCTCCAGAAGTTTGTCTTTCTTTTCTTTTCTTTTCTTTTCTTTTTTTTTAATCCTTCGTTCCTGTGCTGAGAAAATGAAGTTTTTCTTTTCTTTTTTTTTCCTTTTTAATTAGAATACGAAGGCTTTTCTTTTATTTTTTTTAATTAGAATATGGAGGCTTGTAGTGGATTTGGGTTAAGTTTTTTCTTGTGTATTTGGTTATTGAAATCATTAATCACAATTTTTTTAAGGTTCTTAGCGACTCTGTACTGTAGCCTTTTATATTTTGTTGATCTCATTGCCGACTCATGAAGTTTATGATCCTCTCCCCTCTCCTCTTCTCAGTTTTCTTAATCTTTAAGTGATGCCTTTCTTTCGAAATGTTTTTTACTCAAGTTAATTAGATAGTTCAAGTGATTACAGAAGCAAGTTCGTGAATTAAATTGATCAAGTTTGTTCTTCTAACAGATCGTTGGGATTAAACTGGAAGGAGGAAAAAAATCCGAGTTATAATTTCCTTAACTTACTATTCTTGACAATACGTGCTTGAAATTGAATTAAAATGAGTGCAACACAGCTAAAATATTGAGCACCTAATGATTACTTTTATTATTACTGTGATGCTTCTTTTTGTGATAAGTTTTCTATTTTTTAGGGCTAGTAATTTTTTCTTTATTAATACGATTCAAAAAGCAGCTTTGATCTCTTGAATCAGCTCGCCATTGTTGTAAAACGACATGCCTTAACTGGGTTCATTTTTCCAATTGAAAGGATAACTTTTTTTTTTTTTTGGTGGGTGATGGGCAAGGGATATCTGATTTTGGAATCTGCTTCTTGGGGATTTTTTATGGAAGAGAACTGTATTATTAAAATACTAATTTAATCGTTCATCTTCATGTCAATAACCACGCTTCAGACTTCTGTTCATCTTGTATTTCTGCTTCAATCCTCCAATCATGTGGTTTTACTTGGACTCTGATAGATAGATACATTGATGCTTGGGAGGAGAAAAGGGGGTGGGCAAGCTGTTTTATTTTTTGGGGGAGGGGGACTTGGATATGGCTTTATGTTTAGCCTTCGTCTTCTAACTTTTTTCCCTAAATATTCAACTTCTTGGTTGATTCGAATATTATTTTGAGCGATTGCTTTTTGTGATGTTTAGAAGGGATAATTCTCACGTTGTTACTTAGTTGAGTTTCTGATGACCAGTTTTGAATTATCAGTTGTCATTAAAGGCGTGATCGGACGTTTGACTGTGAGTCTACTCTATGTAGGTTGAATCTGAGTACATCCCTCTCTATAGCAATTATGGCCTGGGCCTGACCACTTGGAGTCCACTTGCATCTGGAGTGCTGACGGGAAAATACAAGAAAGGAGCTATACCGCAGGACAGCCGGTTTGCATTGGAAAACTACAGAGTAAGTTTTAATTTGATTTGAGAGATTTCCGCCTGGTCCCCTTCTTGAATTGAATTAGATTTAGAGATTTCCGAGAAAAGCCAGAGTGCACTTATACTGAGTCACTGGAGAGATGGTCTTGTAAAATTGAATGTGTGTGTGTGTGTGTGTATTTGGTGATTTATATTCATGCTGCGAGAGCTTTTGGAGAAAGAGCAGGACGCATCAGTTATGAATGAATAGAACTTTTCCATTACTTCATCATTGTTATAGTTTCCCTTACGATTTATATCTTTCTGTTATATATGCTGACTGTCCTATTTCCTTATCTTCTTAATTTGTTAATGTAATAATTCTTTGCGTCATATACACCACAGAGATGTAGTAAGTCAATGCAGTGGGGTATTGGTGTTTGGATGAGATTTGTTTGGATTTTATTAATGTTGTTTGTTTACAACTAGCTAAAGGATTTGCTTCTTTATATTGTCTTGTACGGTCACATCATGTTGTTAATCTCTTTCTCATGCTTTGCAGAATCTGGCAAATCGATCGTTGGTTGATGATGTGCTTCGAAAGGTTGATGGTCTCAAGCCAATAGCAGATGAACTGGGTGTGCCTTTAGCTCAACTTGCCATTGCATGGTGTGCCGCAAATCCTAATGTTTCATCTGTTATTACTGGAGCTACAAAGGAGTCCCAGGTTAGTCTAATTTTATTTCACTTGTTCAAGACGTATTTATTAAAGATCAATACTTTTCGCACGAAAAAAGGCTTGGCCTTTCTTCCTTTCATACCTGCCGATAGTCTGCTAACTACTACCTTAATCATTCATCATGAAACCCTTTGCGACCCCTCGTACCTCTCGGCCGTTATGCTCAAACCCTTGTAAAGTTTGTTTGTCCATTTAGTGCGGTCCCAGTTCCCCTGTTTTCACCTTTTTGCTATCTGCTATGCAAGTCTTTATGTAAGTAATATGTTCAGTAGGCTTAATAATCCCATGAAATTTGTATATTGCACCATGGTGGCTGCTGCACTAAAGCTTATGCTATGCAAAGGTTGCCTTGCCATGGAAGTTTCATGGTGTTTGCTTTGAATTTGGCTGTGCCATGGCTTAATGCCATTGGAAACACTTTTTAACTGGCTTACATATGACTTGTAGAACACACGAGCATCACTGGTATTTGATCATTTTAACTTATTTACATTTTCCCTTTAACCTTAAACGTCTGGGTTTCTCTATTTCTTATGTTGCTTTCTAGCTCGTTGCATTCTTCACTTCCATCCCCTCTTTACGCCACCACATTTCAATAAAAAATGATTATATTGAAGTTAGTTAAATGGCTTTGGTCATCTGAAGCATGGCTCATTTAGTCATACCAAAACACAGTTATGCTTGCTATTTTGACTTTCAAAAGCTAACAATTAAGTCACTGAACTTTCACAAGAAAGCAAATTGGTCATCTTGTCAATTTTATTACATCCATGTTAAGCTACTTGTTTGCCACCTTAGATATTTCCATAATTGGAATGTTATCGTTAGAGACAAATGGGAGCTTGCCATGTGATTCTAGGTTTTTGATATGAGGAAAATAGACCTAAAGGACTTAGTTGCTCATTTTGAAAGTTAAACAGGTCATTTTGCAATTTTTCAGTGTGTTTGAACAGACTTGATTTCTCTTCATTACTCTTTTACTGCATTCAGATCGAATTTTAACAATCTAGATTAATCTGTACTTTTAATAAGTATCAAAGTTAAATTATCAAATCCAATCTGATGGTTCGAATTTGTGGTATTTTCTCCGCTGCAGTGGAGAGAAGCCACCTCCGTTGTTTGAACTTATGAGATGACAGCTTAAATTAATTGATAGCAACTGCAAAGCAGAATTAAAATTATGATGCAATCTGTTGCAGAGAAATTACAACAATGCATCATAGACTGTTGTATTAGATGCTGTCCTGAAGTGTCCGGGAATTGTATGTTGACTCACGTGTACAGTGTCTATATCCAGAGATTGCCAGTACAAATTCATTTTATATTTGAATCAAGTCAAGTGACTTGCAAATTATTTAGTGCCTCCGGAAATATATATTTTTCAAAAAAAAAAAGAAGAAATTTCTATGGATATAAATAGGGTTGTATATTTTTTTTCTTTCCTTAGATCCAAGAGAACATGAAAGCAATTGATGTGATTCCATTATTGACACCTGCGGTGATGGAGAGGATTGAAGCTGTTGTTCAAAGCAAACCAAAGCGCACAGATTCATACAGATGATTCCAGCATTTTCCTTCTGTCAGATCATGAATTTATCATCATCTCCGGATGGTACTGTAGGGCAAATTCTTCTGGTAGTTTTTTATTGTGACTGATGCGATCCCTTTCTGAGAGTTCTTGACATTCCATTTCTTTTGTGCTCTTTCGCTTTTATCGTTCATTGGCTCAGGTTGTGATTTAACACCGCCGAACTGACTTTGGTGGCAGTACATTCCGGGATCAGTTCAGGACTATGTTTATCTTGCCCATATATGGATTGGATATTCTGTACTTATATTTGTGACGTTTTTCCGGTCTTCATATGGGAGAATTGTCTCTTCTCTTTTTGAAAATAGATAGAATTATGCTGACGTGATGCATTGGGATGCATTAATAATATATGCAGCTGTGATCGACTAAAATTGACTAAGTATGAAAGAAATACGAACTTTAGGTAAATTTCTTGAGACGTTTGTCAGTAACGTTTTTTCGTTAAATCTAAAGTTTATGGAGAAAATCCTTTTGTGAAAAAATAAATTCTCTAGGTATTGGGTGTATAAAAGCCTATTTTTTTCAGGGCTAACTATGTTCAAACTTATTCTCATGTTCAAAAAAGAAACAAACTTGTGCACTCAAGAAAATGTGATGGAAAAGAAGTCGATATACATAAACTGCTCACAATGTTTATTAAATGAGTTGACGAAGAACGTATTCCTTTTTTGTTTTGTTTGGGGCAAACGTGGAGCTTATACGAAGAATAATAATACAACAAAGAATGTGATTTGATGATAGTGGTTATTAATCTGTTACGTAAAATCATGGAACAATCTACGAACAAGGCGGGAAAGTACAAGATTGTTTTCCACCCTCCAGAATATTTTAGCTGGCGTCGCCCCATCAAAAATCGATAAATAAATGAAGTTTCGGAGTAGTTCCTCTAAAATTCCAATATTTCCAAAATTCTTCGGCAACTTTAGAAGCCTTTTATTTTCTTTCGAGTTAGTCAACCGGGACCCTTTCTTATTCTTGTTCTGAAGACCTGAACATTTGCAAAAGTACATAACGTGCACAACTCTAAGCAATTTCTTTTTCTTTGCTTTTGTTTTGACATGTAACTCCATCACGAAGATCGATTTCTTTGTTCATTCTTTAATACTGTTTTTTAATGGAATTAGGCCGCTGTTAACCAAATATTTTAGAATACTCTTCATTAAATTGTTGAATAAGGACGTAATATAAATCACCGACAAATCGTTTCTTTTCTTTTTGTCTAAAAGTTCCAAAATCATATATAAATGTACAGAGAATGTGTCTAGCTTTTTTTTTTTTTTTGAAGAACTTCAATCATTATTTGAATTAAAATTTTAATAACAAGTATTTAAAAATTGCATTTAATATTGACTTAAGACGTCCTCTGCATTCCAACTATCAGCCCACATGAATGCATTTTTTTTTAATTATATACTCTTTCGTTTTCAATTTATAAGACAATTTAAAAAATAATTCCACATCTCAAAATACAAAACATTTTGATAAAAATAATATTTTATTAATTATATTTTTTTAATATGATCCTTATCTCTTTATTATATTTTCTCTTTATTTATGTTTAACAAATCAGTTACATTAAATAAAAGATATTTTTAAAAAAATTATTCTTGTTTTGAAAGAAAATAAGATCATAAAATGTATTTAATAAATTTAATTAGTGCGCATACTTTTATCTAAAAGTAACCTATAAACTGTGATGGAAGAGTATTTTGTACTTGTAGACATGACATGCCTACTTAAATAAAGTTTACATCTTGAAATATCATTATAATCATATTCAACTCTTTTTTTTTTTTAACAATATACTTCATATTCAACTTTAAATGCTTACTTTTCATTTCACACGAAAGCCTGACGTAATGATCTAAGTTGAACTGACTCTAATCATTGTTATAGAAAGTATAAGTGATAGTATATGAAAATTATGATTAGTGTCTGTGCGCGCGTGTGTATCAATTGATCGAATATATATATATATATATATATCACACACATTATATATGATCAATTTATCATGGTTTTTCCAAAACAAATCTAAAGTGGCCTCAACCGTGTATAGAATATATTCTTCGAATAAAGTTGATTGTTGCGAAACCCACAAATATATATATATATATATATATAATTTTCTAGATCGTTTCGTTGTGACTCTATGAAATTGTTCCTCGCTTCTTGGAAAATTCTGTATTGAAATAGTTGGCGCTAAAAACAAATCTTACAATAATATTATAAAACGACCATATCTTATAACTACACCTTTTTTTTTATATATATATACATACTTGGAAAACAAAAAATTTCTGCATGACTAAGTAATTAATGTGAACACACCGGCCATCCAATCATACAAGAATTTTCAGATAAAAAAAAGAAAAAAACTTAAAGTAAATATTTCATGACAGGAAATTTTTCAAATGGGTGTAAACTATTGTATAGTGTATACATTAACAATAATATTAGGACAAGTATATATTTGAGAATTTAAATAAATTATAAAGGATTTTATTATCATTTTTAATTTTTAAGAGAAGTCAAAATTGTTTTTTCCCCGTCCAAAGAACATCCATGAAATGAATGACGTCGTGGAAGGCAGCATCTCTCTAATCCAAATATCACGGAAATGTGCTGATTAACTAGATTGTTAAAAAAGCTGAACGAGAAGATCGTGAGAACTGGAGCTGAGAAAATGGATTAACTTGGCTTTACAAGACTGGTTTTTAATGAACTCATATTTAAAAGAGTCAGCTCATTTAAGTCTGAGTTTTTTTGGAGAAGCTTATATATTAAGCCTGGCCCTAAGTATAATAGACTTATGGCTAGTCCTATGGGCTTCGAGCCCTTTTTATTTTTTTAAATTAAAAATAATTCATTCATTTTATTACAATATAAAATTTTACTTTAAATTATATGGACAATATTTTAATTTTAATATTAATAATATCTTGATGATGCAAACATTTCCTTATTTCAAATAATAAAATATTAAAATTTATAAATTCTTAATTTAAGTCATACAATACAAAATTATATAAATATAAAAAATATATTATTAAAAAATAATTTAAAAATATTAATACACATACGTAACATGAATCAAATTATTGTCTAGAATCTAGATTAGATTAAATAATTACTTTTTTATTTAAATATATCATTGTCTAGAATTAAACAAACTAAACTTTATTCAAAAAATATTAAACAAACCAAAGTATTATGTAAATTTTAATTCTAAAAAAGCAATTATAACAACTAAATATTTGAAACATTATCAAAAATATTAAAAATATTATCATAATGAATAATATTTTAAAATATAAATAAATAAATGGGCTTAAATGAGCTGGCCCTCAGCCCTACAGGGCTAGCCCGTTTAGGCTCTCAACCTATTAAATTAGTTTTTATAAGCTCGCATTCTATTTTGAAGCTTAAAACTCAAATTTGGCTTTAGTAACTATCGGACTTAAATGAATTGGCCCTACGGGCTCAGCACGTTTTCCGACTTTAGTCAAAACTATCACCACAAAGGAGGGTTGATTTGATTAGCAATGTATTAATTTAATCTATTAATCATTTTTCCTTTCCTTGTCAAAGGCTCTGCATTCCTTTATATTTTAAAAAACAAAAAAAGAAAAAAGAAATATCAAGAAAATAAGACCCAAAAAAAAAAATGCTAACGAAGACAAGGGGTTGAGAATTCGCCAGATTATGGTTTGAATTTGTTCTTTAAAGTTAAGATGAAAATGACAAGGTAGTTGTCTTGATTCAATCTAAACATTGATATATTTTCATGAAACCCTCAGCGTAGGTCGCTGCGAGCTTCCTTTTTTCAAATCATCGTTAGTCGCTAACTACACTCATTTATCTGACACGCAATCTTCTTTTCCACTCTTTGCCCATTAATTATTAAATCAAGATTATGTAAAAAGCTTCTTTCTTTTCTGCTATAAATACCTCATCCCCCTACAGCTATCAGCAGAACATTCATATCAAACCTTTCTTTATCAGCACGTATGCTTCAACAGCAGCAACATTAATGGGAAAACAACAACTCTCACTGATGATCATTATAAGACAATTCAAGGTGGCTGTGAAGAAGATGAAGTTTCTGTTAGCTCTGTACAGGCGAGTTCATTCAAGAGTGGGACGTGGTACGAGCTCAAAGTTATTACAGAGATGGCAAAGCTTCCCTGGTAGAGGAGTCATGGCGTTCCATGATTCTGAAAGCAGCAGAGGAGGAAGGAAGAGGAGTTACTATTACGGGCAGGAGGAAGACGACGAAGATGATATCAACGAAAGGGCAGAGAGTTTCATTGCTAACTTCCGTCATCAGCTAAGGCTGGAGACACAAATGGAGCTAACGTGCTGCTCAAGTCCTCGCTTTGAGGATGAATGATTCAATTTCTAGTCATATCTGTTGTTCTTGTTGGATTTGTGTGTATTTAGAAGCTGAAAATTTTTGTTTTCTAGTAGGGTGGTTATAATTAAATCGTGGTTGTATCGCTAATGCTAAATAACATACACAGTTCTGTCATATTATTACAGTAATTTAACACAACTAACAATAATACTAGCTACGTCTTACATGTTAATTACCATATTATATTATATAGATATTGATTTAAATCTAATTTTCAAATTTAATATATCATTAAATTATGAGATATCCTTCAGAAACAAGGATAATAAAATATTTTCAGTGTAGCCCGAATCAACTGTATTTTGGTTTAACAATTTTCTCAATCTAAATTAAATAATAAAATAGTATTTATGGTGATCAATTATAAATAGAAGCCCATACATTAAATGTTTTAGAAGGGTTCCATGACTAGTGAAGATTCTTCCCCAATTATCGTCACCATACCGCTAGAAGATTCTCTCCCTCATACTCTTGAAAGCTTTTTTGATAAATTAAAAGGTGACCCCACTTATAATTTTAGGCTGTTAATCTTTTCCCTGTTAAATAAAAAAATCTAACTTAGATTCAAACAATCATATATTTACAGAATATATTCTTGGAAAAAAGTAGATTTTTTTGGTAAAAAAAATTACTTAAAAATGTTTCTGGGTAGTTTTCTAAATCATTCATTGCGACCACTTCAACTTTAATTTTTGCTTCATATCATTTGAGAAACATGTCCAAAATATATAATATCGAAATTAAAGCAACTATAACTCTAGGATAAAAAAAGATTAACAAGATAATTGTTTTGGTTTGGGTGGGTTAAAAAAACAGAGATTGACGAAAGCAAGGGGTGCTCGATCGGCATTGGCCAGACCATAATTAAAATTTGTTCTTTAAAGTTAAGACGAAAATGACAATCTAAACAAACTTACAGTTGATGAAACCCTGAGCATATTCATGCTAACACGCAATCTTCCTTTGTACTCTCTATATATTTAGATTCTGTAACAAGCTTCTTTCTTTTCTGCTATATTCCTACCAAAACCTTGCTATATTTCAATGTGCCTGTGTGAAGAAGATGAAGTTGCTGTTCATTAACTCTGTCCAGGCGATTTCATTCAAGGGGAGGAAGAAGCTAAGGAGGAATGAGGAAGATGTACGATCGACGACGAAGCTATCGAAAAAGGCCAGAGAATTTCACTGCTTGGCTTTTGTCATCAGCAAAAGCAAAGCTTGGCGACGCAAATGGACCTAACGTGTTTTTCCTAAATTCAGCATGGACTCAGAACTCTATTCATTTATTCATCAAAAGAAATGGATAAAATGAGAATAAATTCAAAATAAAAATAAAAAATAAGTAACGAAATTTTTCCTTAACACCAACCAAGTTAATTTTTGTGTTTGAATAATATCATTTGCTTGGAAAAAAAAACTTTTCAACTGAAATAATAGCTTATTTTATAAATTGTCAAAACGACAATTTTTTTCTGAATTTAAAAAAAAAACATATACGAATTTGTTCCAAGTTTAAACTTTAAAATAAAACATATACCCGGACAGTTACTGTTCAAAAACAGGATACAACAATTTTTCTTAGATAAATAATTAAAATTTAATAGTAAATTACAAGTATATTTCTATCATTTTTAATATATAACAACTCCTCCTAAACAAGTGATTGAAATTTAATAGTAAATTACAAGTATATTATGCAAAAAAATGATATTATTTGAACACAAATTACATTTCTGAATAAAACTATCATTTTTTTTATAACTTCCTTTTTTAAAAATAGGAAGTTTGAGGCTCGGAGATCATACTCGTATGCCGCGGGGAAAAAAGGAAGCCGCAAAACGAGAATCAAGCTTCCGACCTTTCAAGCCAGCAATCAAGAATCAATATAAAGTTTAGATTTTTAAAAAATAATAATAATAATAATTGGGGACTGAAGGTCAAAGTTTAGATTAGAGGCCAGGCCAATGACAATGAAGCAATGGCCATTGCTTGTATGATAATATATGAACACAGAAAACACGTCCTTAGCCTCTGCAGTGTTTATATGCTACACTATTTTTTAAGTAAATGTCGTTCCCCGACGTATCCGTTCGAGCTCCACGCCTCATGGAACGTTTTCTTCTCGCTCCCTCTCTTCCTATCAAGCGTTGCCCCACAAACAAAACCATTTTCTGGTTTCATCAAAACCCAAACTACTCTAGCTCCATTTCCCCCCTTTTTGGTGCTTCATGGTCATAAATTCCCTTGATGCTCAATTCTTCCTTTCCCTACGATGTAATCTCCCCAGCATATGTTTCATGCATCCGGTGAATCTCTGGACATTCATGTAGGTATTTAGTTCTGAAAATCCCTTTCTTTTTACGTAGCTTTCGACCCCAATTTGATTCATTGACACCTTTTTCTCGTACCTTCGTTTCTGTTTGTTTTACTTTGCTTTTATTGTTAGAAAAGAATGTAGAATTTGAAATTGGGATCTTTTGATTCCATGCTCTTCATTTTGTATCTTATAGACATTGTGCCTCGTTCGCAGGGTTCTAACTCATAAATTCCATTATGGAACTAACGTGTAAATTCATTGCACGGGTTTCTCTTTAGATTTTTAATGACGGCAAAATATAATCAGCTAAGTTTATCTGCTGATTCATTTTATTGCGGGATCAAATAGTCATGTCATCTTTTGAATATTCATATGAAGACAATGTTGTGGTAGTTGTGCTCAGTTCATAACCATTTTGCTGCGGTATGTTGATAGCTGCAAAATTGGCTTTGAAGCGAAGGGAAAAGGATTTATTTGTACCAGACAAGGATTCAAGTGAGTAATTAACACTTGAGGAATCATAGGCACTGGTTGAACATGTGTGGGCAAGAACTCAAAATGCTCTAGAGCAATGATGGTTATATGGAGCTAGCTATAATTATTCTACCACCATGAATAATGAGGCTCCAGGCACTCAAGGCCAGTGGCTTAAAGGTGTAGTAATTGCCGGTTCAAATGATAGAATCGTTTCAGACGACAATGAAGACAATGTATGTTTGCAGACAGGTGAAGAGTTTTCAACTGAGTTCTATCGTGATCGGTTTGGTTTAAGGAGACTCCCTGTCACAACTGATGCGGACAATCACCAGCCAAATAGATTGGGTTTAGATTATAGTCAAAATTATCAGGTGGTTTATGATGATCTTGCACGCGTTGTTGGCCTAAGGAGAAGGGATTCTGATAGTAATTCAGATTTGTCAGATTTCGTTACAACGCCTTCATACATTGCTGAACCTGAAAGCAAGGCATATCCTAACAATTTGAGCAAGTTCCAGTGGGAACATGGTGGTATTGGACAACGATCTGGTAACTTTGCTGAAGAAATTTATTTGGATCAAATCTCTTCAGGACCAATGGCATCACCCATTTATGCTGTTGAATCCCTTCAGTCATGCCATCCTCATCCTTCAACATTTTCAGATGCTTCGTGTTTTAAGAAGATAAAATTTCTTTGTAGCTTTGGAGGGAGAATATTACCAAGGCCAAATGACGGTAAGCTCAGATATGTCGGAGGAGAGACACGAATTATATCCTTAAGGAAAAACATTACTTGGAAGCAACTTATGGAGAAGACTTGTGCAATATGGAACGTCACTCACATTACCAAATACCAGCTTCCTGGAGAGGATCTGGATGCTCTTATTTCTGTTTGTTCTGATGAGGATCTTAATCATATGATAGAGGAGTATGAGGAACTTGAAAGAATTGGAGGCTCTCAACGATTGCGGATATTTCTCATATCGTCAAGTGAATCTGAGAACCCAAACTCTATTGAAGCAAAAGTCAGTCTGCCAGGTGATGTTGACTACCAGTACGTTGTTGCTGTAAATGGCGTGCTGGAACCAAGTCCTCGGAAGAGCTCTAGTGGGCAAGGTTTGGTAAACCAGACGAGCCAGTTTGGAAATACCTCTGATTTCAATAGTCCGATATTGTTTAAGGAATCAGATGCATCTGCATTTGCTTGGGATGTCAAGGATTGCAGTCTAATGTCCCCACGTTTAGGAGGATTGCTGAATAAAGCTAGTTCTCAGCTTTTAACAGCACTTCAAGTGCCAGGAAAATCATTCAATCAATCACCACCTAGTCCTATATCTCGTATTCGTGCTCAGCCTAAAGATCATCAGATTTCCAACATAGAGCTGATTATGGATCAACCATGCAATGTTGGTAATGAAGGCCTTGTTCCTTTTGTGAAGGAAAGGACTCAATGTGAAAATTCCTTGTATAAAGATGATGCCCATTATGTTGATCCAGCTGCATACTACAAAAATCTAGCCCAAGGGTCTCGCTTTCTGAATCATCATCATAATAATCAACATATAGTGGAGGTTGATCAGCCCGAGAATCTCATCGATGATGTTCAATGTCACGTGAGAAGGAACAGTGAAAACTTTGTTTCTTCTGCAACGTGTGGTCAAGGTGATATGATGTTTGAGAGACCCCCACGACCAAATGAGGGTTCATTCCGTCTTGTTAAGAATCTCTCTCATCATGAAGCATCATCATTAGTAATTTCAGTATCTAATGATAGAGATAGAGAGAGGCCTCCTTGTAGATTGTTGCATGCACTTTCTGACCCATTATTGCAGAAGCGCGATGAGAGGTTTGAAGATCAATTGCAGCCCTCCCTTACAGTAAAGGGAAACAAGTCACCTTTAATACAAGTTTCAAGTTCTTCCCGGGAAAGGCCATTACAGGAGGGAGAGGTAATTGATGAAAAAAACCTGGTAGCTGAGCATCAATTTTTGCCCAGTTTTGGAAAGATTGGAAGTTTCAAGGGGATTTCGAGTCCTAATCAAGGGAGTTTGCAACTTGCAGATAATGACAATACCTGTTCTGGTGAAATAGGAAGATTTGGAGGCAATATTGAAGTTACATCACATGAAAATGTCTTGCATATCAAAGATTTAGAGGGCATTGATTACAAACAAGTTGGTTGCCAATCTTCAGTAGAGTTACAAAGAAGTGAATGCAGATTACTTGCTTCTTCATTACAGTCTGAATCTACACGAAACCTGAAGGAGCAACCTCATGGTCTACTACAAGACTTGGCTGCTTCTGAGCTTATGATAAGAAGCCAAAATTCGACAATGTATCAGCAAGTTACTGTGTCAACAACAGATAATAGCAAGTCATCTCACCTTGGTTCCTCTGATTTACAGTTTATTGACTCCCTAACGGACATAGAGTCTACGCTACTAGTCACAGTAAGTTTATTTCTTTGGGAATTTGTTGACTCGACTGTAAGTCTGTCATTGATTAGTCATTGAATTTACATATATAATTCAGAATACATATAAAGGATCAGCTTCCAGAGGGAAGATTTTTCTCCCTGACAAGAATCCTGCCAACTGTCCTCACCAGAAGAATGACAAGATTGTTTGTGACCAAGATTATTTTGTTAGGTATAACATTGAGTTAAGTGACCAGTCACGAAGCTCTGTAACTAGTCAAGAAATCAAGCAGCTAAATGCAGCAGCTATTGTTGAAGGGCCAGCTGGTAGCATCTCTTCAGGTGTAGATGTAGATGAAGAGGATGAATCTGAAGCTGTGTTTCGTAAAAAGGAAGAGATAGAAAGTGGCTGTTCAGTATCTCAAAATGAGGTGAGAATTTCCGACTAAAATTGAATCATACGGTCCATAATTATTCATTTTATGGTTGACTAAAGACTAAAATTTGCCATGATAGTTTGCAAAAGACGATAATAGAAACTTCAATAAGCCAATTGGACCAGCAACTGTTGAAATAGAGGCCGAACTCTATGGTTTGCAGGTATTACTATTATTTCAGAATCCCATGTGATTTAGGGGCCTTTTTTTAAACTTTTTTATGAAAAGATCACATTGTGGGGGAAAAAAAATCAGTTTCGTGAAATTTTATGGCATTTTTTTTTATAGTTTTTAAAAATAATCAGGATATGAAGAAAGCATATTTCTTATTAGTTTGACAAACTAATTTAAGTAATTCTAAAAATAATCCAACGCGGTAGATAAAAGAAAATGCCATAGAAATACAAAGATATCATAAAATTTTAGAATAACTAAATAATAAATTAATTTAAGGGGGGATGGAAGAGCTAGTCAATTATATTTGAGGGGAGGTGTTGGAGAGTAGAAGTCCAACACTAAGTAACAAGAAAGATGAAGACGCATAAATTTGTGCTAACTATAACCTAGTAACTTAAGCTGTGGTGAAATGGACAAGCCTAAGCACAAGCTCATACACAAATTTAGTACCTCTTCTCAATCAAAACTAGCTTATATCTTGTGCATTACAAAAGAAATAAAAACCAAACATACAAAGTTTGAAAAAGCAAAATAATTATTGAAAGGAAATAAAATTAAAAGAGGGAACACAGTCACACATCATCTGGTCTCATTTGTGGATGTGCCTATATCCTTTTCCTCCTCAGTTTCACTTGATAGAAAAACCCAAATTCTCTTGTCAATCCATAACTCCAAAATAATTGATTAGAACAGTTAGTTATACAAACAATAAGGCTTTATCCCACTAGGTGGGGTCGGCTACATGGATTGCAAGACGCCATTGTGCTCTATCATTTATCAAGCTTTTAGGAATATTATTAATTAAGAGATCGCGTTTAACAACTTTCAAAAGTGTTCTCTTAGACCTTCCACTACCCCTCTTAATTGGGCTCAAAGTTATATGTTCCACTCTTCTCACTGATGCCTCCCTTGGTCTTCTTTGTACATATCCAAACCATCTCAACCGATTTTCTACCATTTTTCCACAATAGCTGCTACCCTCACTTTTTCACGTACGTGCTCATTTTGAATTTTATCTTTACGTGTATGTTCGCACATTCATCGTAACATTCTCATTTCTGCTACTTCAACTTTATACTCTTGCTGTCCCGTTAGAGCCCAGCATTCACTACTATATAATATTGCCGATCTGATAGCAGTACGATAAAACTTTTCTTTAAGTTTATTAGGCACCTTATGATCACAAATAACTCCTTTAGCTTTTCTCAAATTAAACCACCCAACTTGAATCCTATGTGAAATATCCCCACTGATTTCGCCATTATTTTGAATAATGGCTTCCAAATATCTAAACTTTTTCACTTGAGAGCAGTTAGTTATATTTTTAAGAAAATTAACAAGAAAAATGTTGAAAGGCTTGTTTGACAAATTACTGCATTTATGTTGCTTTTAAGTTTTAACCCTGTCACTTGCTCTTTTTGTCAAAAAAGCAAATAGAAACAGGACCAATGCCTCCTGCATTCTGATCCCTTCCAATGCTTTTCTTTTTTATTTGCTTTACTTTTTTTTTTTTTTTTTACTTTGCCCTCCTTTAATTTGTTTTAGTAGGATAAGAAGATGAATCAGAGCTGCTCGTTCTCATGTTTAACCATATGTTTGAGATGAAAACATGCAGATTATCAAGAACGTTGATATTGAAGAATTGCAAGAGCTAGGATCTGGAACATTTGGAACTGTTTATCATGGAAAGTGGAGGGGAACAGATGTTGCAATCAAGAGGATAAAAAGTAGTTGTTTTTCTGGCAGATTATCAGAACAAGAGCGGTTGGTAGGTGTACATAATTATAAGCAAGTTGAATTTTGCAAGCATTTTTTTTCCCATCCTTCTTATGCTTATATATATACGTATGTATGCATGTAGGTACGTACGTACATATATATATATATATATATATTGCCGTTTTAAGAGAGTCACTGATGAAAAAGTTTTATGATGAACAAGACATTAATTTTATTGAGTTGCAAAATATCAATTTGGGTGACTCTTCAGTGCTGTATCTACATAATCAAATATTCAATATAAATACAAAGTCTATAGAATGCTTTATCATCTATAAATCATAAACAATATGGTTTACCTTAAGCTCCAAACGCGTACAAAACCCACAGTCTAGTTTTGTTTATGTCACAAGGATAGAAGCTTACATATATACATGTGCAGAAAAGAGATTTCTGGCGGGAGGCAAAAATTCTGTCAACTCTTCACCATCCAAATGTGGTGGCCTTTTATGGGGTAGTTCCAGATGGCCCTGGTGGGACGTTGGCAACTCTAACAGAATTTATGGTACATGGATCACTGAGGAATGTCCTCTTGAAGAAGGAAAAGTTAGTTAATTCATGGGAGCTATTTTACTTGCAAAATATTAACTAGAATTAAATTTAGATCTCACTTTCTTGTCATCCTGCAGAGTTCTTGATCGCCGAAAGCGGCTTATGATTGCAATGGATGCAGCCTTTGGCATGGAATATCTGCATTTTAAGAATATTGTCCATTTTGATTTGAAGTGTGATAATTTACTTGTCAATTTGGGGGATCCTGAACGGCCTGTGTGCAAGGTAACTTGTGGCAGATACATGAGTTTGGATTTGCTTCCTCTCATTTTGGCCTCTTTCGTCAATGGAAACCAAGCTTTTTTGCAACTATCAGGATAGAGCATGCATGACGATTGTCTTTTTTTTTTTTTTTTTTTTTTTGAAGAGCTCTTGATCAGTTGTGTTTTTGAGTATATCCTTTCTTCAGATCCCTGGCAAAGAAAACTGATAGACCAACCACCACGGTAAAATTGTGTTACGTAGGTTGCTGATTTTGGGCTATCAAGAATTAAGCACAACACACTTGTTTCCGGTGGTGTCAGAGGAACCCTTCCATGGATGGCACCAGAATTATTAGATGGAAACAGTAGCGGGGTCTCTGAGAAGGTTAGCAACTCACTTGTCTGTGTGGCTCTCATTTTCCCCTCTACTTTAATTCCATCCATTCACTTCCTGATGAATGTAATATTTAAAGTGCCTAGCTATTGTCCTCTCTAATAGGTTGATATTTTCTCATTTGGCATTGCAATGTGGGAGATCTTGACTGGGGAAGAGCCATATGCTAGCATGCACTGTGGTGCTATCATAGGTAAGCATGTGTAATCTCAACTGTGTCTTCCATATGGATTTGTCATTGGATTCCTTCCGAGAGATGGATATCAAGCAGGAAAGCCAAAGCTCACTTGACCATGACAATCTGGTTTCTTTATTTCTCATGAAGGAACAATATGGTGCTGCTTGTAACATTGGCTTTCCAAACTGAAGAGTCAAAATTTTATTTTCTATTGATTATTTATTTTATAGGTTTATGCAATTGAATTATAGAAGGCATGTGAGAGAGGTAGTTCTGGCAACAGAGGGAAAAAACAACACTCTATTGAGATGTTTCTCATTTATCAAAGACTATCACGGATGCTCCGTAATGAAACTATTTAAAAAGATGCCACATCATTTGACTAATTAGATCACCATGTTACTGTTCTATAATTTCTATTTATGAACTTTTAACTTTGTTCTTGTTCTGTGCCTTCTAATTCTGCCAGAGAGTTTCTTGTAATCTGTGGTAGAAGAGTAAAGCTGGCGTACTGAAACTTGATTTGAATTCTGATGATGGTTTATGTATTACTGATGATTTAATGAAGGTGGAATAGTCAATAATACACTCAGGCCTCCAATCCCAAAACGTTGTGATTCTGAATGGAAAAGGCTAATGGAAGAATGCTGGAGCCCTGATCCTGCAGCCAGGCCATCTTTCACAGACATAACACATAGATTTCGCCTTATGCAAGCGGCTCTGCCGAAGAAGAAACCCTGTCCTGCAACTTGATGGGAGGCTCTTCTTCTTCTGTGTTCTTTTTTTAAAACTGAAAATGAAATGCATATGAGAAAGAAATGTTCAAAGAAATGTTGTCAGTTATTTTGATAGATTTGTCTGTATAGAAGCCGTAGTTTAGGTGTCCAATGTTAGCCAAAATTGTATTATATGAAAGCTACACGTTTCCTCACTTTTTGTCCTTTGTTAGTGCGTTCTCTTCCACCGGATTTAAGTACTCTTATTTCATAGTTGATCTTGAAGACCAAGAGCAATTTTTTTTTTACCAAATAAATTTATGCTATTTTACATTTATATATTACCACGGTATATTTATATATTACCAAGATTAAAGTGTATTTTTAATCTTATATTTTCTTTTAAAGAGTGTTGAGTACCCTGTGATAATAAATGGAGGTAGAGCATTTTGCAAAAAAAAAATTGTAATTGCTTGTTATATTTTAATCATTGTTAAAAAAAAGTAATCATTATTTAAATTAAAGTAAGTATTAATATTTACTTTTACAGTCTAAGGAGAGGAGGATTTTGGCTCGTTTAAAAAATAATTTAAAAGAAAAAAATATCACACTTATTAATACAAGATGTTCAATATTTAAAAAAAAAATACAAAAACAAAAATACAATTTAAGCCTTGCTTCTAAGATACGCCAGTTTAGTGGGGCTTTTGACCTCATATGTGAAGGATTATCCGCATGCGTGTCACTTACCATCTTTCCTCTTTTCTCCTGCGGCACGCGTTCCTATGACAAACCTTCAGTCCCTTATCTAGCATCCACCCAACCCCTAGCGCGTGGACACACCTCTTTGTTTTTTTTTTTTCCAAGTAATGTTTTTGTATTGCATGCAGAACTACATTTATATTTCTTATTATCGGGAGGTTCGATATACAACCGGACATTAAATATGAATTCTCAGTTATTAATACTAATACTTTACTTCTATATACATGGAATAGAACAAAAATACTACCATCTAGCTTGGAGCCTTTGACGTTAAAAATTTAAATTCAGTCCCACAAAGATGAATCTACATTTTTCTAGGCCAAAAGGGGAAAAGGAGATGAATCTACATTTTAAGAACAAGCATTTTGTTTAATTTTTTTAGTTATTAGTGAACTGAATCAGTTGATATTCACTTGTGAGAGCACTCTAATTTGAGAAAAATAATTTTGTAGCAATAGCTAATTGCAATAGATTATTCACCATGCTTCACATACCTCTGTAACCTGTTCAAATAATTTTCCTTTTAAAATAAGTTAATATGGTGATTGATTAGTGTCCTGCTTTTAATTTTTCTTTTTCAATCTATTAGTAAGTGTGTGTTCATTTTTTTTTAAGAAATGAACAGTTATAGATATTATACATAATCATATTCACGCACACAACTTCGGATCTATGGCAGGCATCAAATCCACGACCTTGCCACCATCGAAGGATTTTTTTGGTGATTTAGCATCTAAAGTATCATTTAGTTGCGAGAAAAGTTGAGAATGGAGTAGATTAAAAAAAAATTAAAATTAAAATAAATTAAATTATTTTTTTTCATAATAAATATAATAAAACTCAATGTTATATATTATAAATGTGTAAATTATCATATTTTTAAAAATTTAATAAATTATGATTTTTAATCCTGTAAATTAAATTACCCTTTTCACTTGTGAATATGGTTCAAATATCTCCCTCCACATTTTAATCATCTTATTGTTATCTCTATCTTTTCAATTCATTTTATTCTCTTCTTTTTTAACAACCAAACAGAATCCAAGTTATTGGCATCAATTCTGGGATTTACCTTCAACTAATTGATTGAGATTGATTTAAGACTCTAACATAAATAAAGGAGGATAGCAGTCTAATTTTGAGAATTTTTACCATTTTATTAAAAACGTTAAATCATAATTTAGATTGGATTCTTCTTATTTTTTCCCCTCAAGATTTCTTATTTTAATATTTAAATTTGTCACTTGAGATGCTTATATTCTTCTACGAAAATATGCTTTCAATCCCATGAATTGTTACTTTTTTCCAGACACCTTTTTTTCTTCATTTTTTTTCTTCTCATATCCTCTATTCACGCTTGGGTATGATTATCGAAAAATAGAATAGATGACCTGGTATTATGAATGGATATAATAATCTTTCTATTTTCGCACTTTCATCCTATTGTCAATTATACTGTAATAATATTTATATTTTTGTTGTTATCACTTAATAGTAATTATATCTTTAAAAAAAAAACCAAACCCGCAGTATTCATAATAAAACGATTACAAATAAAAAAGCCTTTATAACAAAAACTAAAAGCCCAGACAAACCAAAGAACACAACTAAACGAAAGACGATAAAAAGAAGAAGTCAAAAAAAAAAAAAAAGAGAGGCACTGACAACAATAAACAAGCAAACAGAGATCAACATGGCTGAAGTGTGGCCCATGTAGATGATAATTTAAAAAGCTCACATAAGAGTAATAAGTAACTAGTTTAAAAAAAGGTCCATAAAAAAATTTGAAAGGCACAATAAGCAAATAAAAGAATTGATTATTTTCAATCCAACAAACGAAAATCTGCTCCCTTGAAAATATCTCGTAGGATTTGAGAGACCAAAATTATATTGTAACATTTTTTGTTTAGAAAGATCATTTGCATGAACTGTAATGAAGCAATGAAAGACCATGCAAACCTAAATACAGACACATCACACATAACACACATAACCAAGACTCGAGAAAAGGCTGAAAAACAGATGTCACTTACTCCAAAAAGGGTGCAGCACCAATTGATGGCCTCCACAAAGCTGCAACACCCATGAAGAGCCCCCAAAGTATCATCCAAGCAAATGGGGTTTTGTGGCACAAGCCCTGTGAAACTCAGTGAAATGAGAATACTCTATTATTGAAGAAGAAAACAGAATAATCTTCCTTTTCTTGCTAGATGATGCAGACACAGTAGTTGTAGAAGTGTTTGATGGTAGAACAGATTTGGGAGAAGCATCAAATGAATATTGATAACATTGAGAAATGAGTCAGTTCTAAAAAATGTGAGAGAAGTTTGGTAGTCCACCATCAAATTCATTCTCAGAAGAGAATATGGGATGTAATGGGGCACGTCCCCCAAACACCTTTCCACGATACCAATGTGCAATAGAGTGTAACAATCTCCCATGTGTGTGGCAAGAAGTGAAGTCATAACAATCTTCTGCTATTGAGATATATCCTCCATGCTCGACCTAAGCGGCTAAGCCGCATCACCCCACGTCATCGTGATCATCGATAATGCCCCCCGAGCGAATAAGGCCCATAACTCAACAAACTTAATATCAATTAATTTTTTTATACAAAATTTAGTCGTAAATTTTTTTTTTTTTTTTACATTGCCAAAATGTCCAACCTCAACTTTCTTGCTGATCTTTTTCTTTTTTATTTTTTATTTTTTCCCATTTGTATTTTAACATAAAAAATTAGTTTGCTTTTCTCATCATCTTTCCCAAGTTTATTGGCAAATGAAATGTGTGATCTGTGATTATATATATATATTGTGACATTCAGAGATCCTATCATTTCCAAATCTCACGTCTCTTATTTTCTCGCTTAGCTTCGCTTCCTTCCTCGGCAGAGCCTCTTTCGCATTCATTTACGAAGATGGAAAAGGCCATCAACAGGCAAAAGGTTCTGCTTGATCACCTCAAGCCTTCGTCGTCAGTCTACGGGAACGAATCATCCCTCACTGTGAGTACAATTCCAAGGAATTTTTAACCTATTTGGATTTTGTTGCTCTTCTACTTCGTTTTGATTACGGCGTTTGGTGTGTGGGGAAAATACCCATCTACCTCTCTGTTAGAACTAAATTTTACTATTGATTTGTGGCTTGAAATTTCGTTTAAAGATTTTTTTCCTTGGGCATGCATTTGTATATTTGTGTTGATTTTCTGACTGTTCCAGTAATTGCGTTTCTATTTTGACTTCTAATCATTAGGCTTCGGCATGTTTGGCGGGGGATAGTGCTGCATATCAGAGGACTTCGGTATTTGGGGACGATGTAGTGATTGTGGCGTAAGTTCTCGTATTTGTTATGGAATTACTTAAGTTTGACTTAGATTTTTATTGACTGAGTAAAACTTTCATGTTCTGATTACTAGTTGTTATTTGCAGAGCGTATCGAACAGCGATTTGCAAATCCAAACGTGGTGGTTTCAAAGATACTCATGCTGATGATCTTCTAGCTCCTGTCCTGAAGGTAAGATTACTCTCTCTCTCTCCCTCTCCCCTCTCGCTCTGTTTTTTTTTTTTTTTTGGTTAACTAACAGATTTAATTTTGTAACTATAACCATTTTACAAGCATTATGATCTCTAGTCCCTATCCAGTAAGATTCCTGATTTCTAGCCTCTCATTTGGCAAATATGTATGCTTAATCTTGACGACGAGTTCTGAATTTAATTGTAGGCTGTAATAGAGAAAACCAATTTGAATCCATCTGAAGTTGGTGACATTGTTGTGGGCACTGTATTGGCACCTGGATCTCAGAGAGCCAGTGAATGCCGAATGGCAGCATTTTATGCTGGTTTTCCTGGTATAGGTCTATGTAAATAGGTCTCAATGGACCTTATATTTTATGCTTTTTTTATTAAACTTCCGTTTGACATTTTGTATGGTCCAGAAACTGTACCTGTGAGGACAGTGAATAGGCAATGCTCTTCTGGGCTGCAGGCTGTTGCTGATGTAGCTGCAGCTATAAGGGCTGGATTTTATGACATCGGTAAAGGTTTCATGAAATTGTTTGGAACTTATTAAATCAATGTGCCTTTGAAAACTTTGACTGACTTTTAAATATGTTGTATAGGTATTGGTGCTGGTTTAGAATCTATGACAAGTAATCCAATGGCATGGGAAGGATCAGTCAATCCTAAAGTATTTCTCCCTCCTCTTTGGCCCAGCACCCTTTCCTTATGAACATCAGTTCCTGGAAACAGGACCTTTGAAGGGGCTTCAAATTTCTGATAATAACTTGCGTGCCTTGGTAGGTAGAAAGTTTTGAACAAGCCCAGAACTGCCTTCTTCCTATGGGTATTACCTCTGAAAATGTTGCACACCGCTTTGGCGTGTCAAGGGAGGAACAAGATCAGGCAGCTGTAAGTTCAACATATCTATTGACACATCATTCTATAATAATAATAATAATTATTATTATTATTATTATTATTATTTTGTAAATGGCTTATTTTTATTTTAGTGACTCTTGTAACTTGAAAACAATGGTGTTGGTAGGTCGAGTCTCACAGACGGGCGGCGGCAGCCACTGCTTCTGGTAAATTTAAGGATGAAATTATCCCAGTTTCAACTAAGGTATATAAAATTAAAGTTTTAATTAACTTTGTGAGTAAGTGGAATTTCTTTGAGGTCGTTGGTTCTTAATGAACTTAATTTATAATAGATTGTGGATCCAAAAACTAATGAGGAGAAGCCTGTCACCATCTCTGTTGATGATGGAATTCGACCTAATGCAACACTGTCTGATTTGGTGAGACTCAAGCCAGTGTTTAAGAAAGATGGGAGCACCACTGCTGGTATTAGATCATCAAACAAATTTGAATCTTTTATCAAACTTTTCAGTTGATTCACCTTTTTCATCATTTGATTCCTGCGGTTTAGGTAATTCTAGCCAGGTAAGTGATGGTGCTGGGGCTGTTTTGCTGATGAAAAGAAGTGTTGCAGTGCAGAAGGGACTGCCCATCCTTGGTATATTCAGGTACATTAGTGGTAGCATAGGAAAAAAAATATCGTCTAGGCAAACTTTTATATGCATTTTAATGTGTCATGCTTTATGAATCAGGGATGGACAATAGAATTATTATACAGTGCCCTTTTCTCATGTGAATTTAGATGAACCTTCTCTATATCGACAAGGAGCCACATCACATATGCCCCCAAGTTAGAGGCTATGAATATAGTAGTCAAATTGTGATATGCATCACAAAGTGGAAATCTTCTTTTTTTAAAAGAAAAAAAAATATTGGATTGTAAAAGATACTGAACTCTTAAGATGTAGTAACAGTTGAAAATAGCTTGAAATATAAAATATGAGACACACACACAAATATGTTATTAACATGCATAAAATTCTTGAGATATCAAATTTAACCCACGACTTATGCTTGAGCATAAATCATAGATAAACTCATTTAGTCATAATTTGTAAATAATCAATCTTGAAATAAATCTCAACTGATATCCTTCTTTACAACAGACAAATAATATAGTATTCATACGGTATTTATACTATAACTGTCATATTCTCATGTTCATGCTTGTATTTGATGTTTATATTTTGGCCCACATGTAGGACCTTCGCTGCGGTTGGTGTGGATCCTGCCATCATGGGTGTTGGCCCCGCTGTTGCAATTCCAGCTGCCGTTAAGGCTGCAGGTCTAGAGCTCAGCGACATTGATCTTTTTGAGATAAATGAGGTATTAAATAAATGTGGTGATTTCTATATTTCTTTTTTGTTCATTTTTATATTTACTCACTTCTGTAATGTACATATATCTAGGCATTTGCTTCCCAATTTGTATATTGCCGTAACAAGCTGGATCTTGATCCTGAAAAGATTAATGTTAATGGAGGTGCAATTGCCCTTGGGCATCCCTTGGGTGCAACAGGTGTGGATTCACAAATTCAATCTTCTGTGGCACTATGTTTATAATCAACAGCAGTTTGATTTTGTCATTGGAGGATGCTAATATCATAATTATGATGTTGCAGGTGCACGCTGCGTAGCGACATTGTTGCATGAAATGAAACGTCAAGGAAAGGACTGCCGGTTTGGAGTTGTATCCATGTGCATAGGTATTGCTTCCCTTTTGCTGTCTAATTGTATGAGCGTGTGGTCCACTGTGCAGCCTGCGCAGGGTATAATGGAATATTGTCAACTGTGAGCAGGTACTGGAATGGGAGCAGCTGCAGTGTTTGAGAGAGGTGCTCATGTTGATGAGCTCTGCAATGCCCGCAAAGTGAACGACAACCTCCTCCTATCTAAGGATGCTCGGTAGACCTCCATATCAAACATTTCATTACTGGCCTGGATTTTTCTTATGAACGTCTCTCGCACTGTTGAAGTATATGGCCCCATATATATTTGATACAGGCTCGCATAACATTGGAGACTCTTGTAGAATTTCTCCCAAGCTAAGTTACCCGTCTTTATTGAATGAAAAACAATAATTTCCATAAGCTAGTGGAATGGAATTGTGCTCTTCACGCTTTTGCCCACGTCATACTGGCGAATCATGCATGCAAGTTGCTTCGTTCCAACTCACAAGAATCAAAATAGTTAGCTCGAGTACTAGATTTGTCTCAAAATTGAATACCTTTTATTTTCGCGCTTCCCAAACACTCGTTAAATATGATTGAATACATTGGAATGATATGGGAAGATGTTTCTGAAATAATTCATTAAATACTGAAAAATTAAAATGAAAAATTGGTTGCTGAAGATAGTTTTTTATTGAAGGAGGGTTCCAGAGTCCCTCTGTATCCCTAGTGAAAATCTAGTCAATCTCAAGCCTGAAAAGAAAGGCGCCGAGCGAAAGCTGCGGTACAAACTCGGCAAAGCATCTGTTTGATAGAAGCTGAAACGCCCCTACCAAGCTTCCTGCATATTTATTTGTGCCTCCACTACACCACCTTCAGCTCATCCATCCACATCTGTTCTTTATCCAGTCCCACACTTTCTCTGCTGCACTCGGTTGCTCACTTTCTTCCTCACTGATTCAAAGACTTTCATCTAAATAATATGGCGCTTGCACAGTTGGATTACAAACACTGCAATTATTATTTAGGGCAAAAAGAATTCACGTTGCGCCTAAATCAAACCTATCGCATTTTTTTTTTTTTTTTTTGGTTCGAATTGTACCTTCAAAATCTTGGTACCCCATAACGCTGTGTGGGCAGTTTAGGGCGCGTTTGGATTTTAATCGAAGAAAGTTAATTATGAAAAAAATTAATTAACAGAATGTAATGATGTCTGGATAATTATTTTAAAAAATTGATTTAAAAATGGAGGAAAATTTAGCCTCTACAAAATGAAGTTTCAAGCATCAAATAAAATTTGGAAAAATTGGGAAAGTTTGGCTAACTTTGCAAACTGAAATTTCAGAAACCAAATAGAGTTTGAAAAAAATTAGCAGTGTTTAAATGACTTTTTCAAAACTCTAGAGTTTTAAACCTCATAATTGATTCTAGAGGGCATCCAAATTTCCCTCCCTCCCTCTCAAGGTTTCATTATTTTTTATGCATGGGTTTAAATATCAGTACAATTGAAAACTTTGTTCATTTTCGGACAGGGTTAACAGTCTCCTCCCTCAGTTTCGTTATTTTTTTTTCATGCATCGGTTTGTCTACAGGAATAATTGAAAAGCTTGTTCATTTTCAGACAGGTTTAATACTTAATAGTCTAGATAAAATATCTAAAAATGCCTTATAAAAAGAAGAGAAAAAATAATCATTAATTTTTATAATTCTATCAAATTTTACTTTTAGTCCATATAATTTTTTTTAGTGTTTTTAGTTCTTATAAGAATCAAAACTATAAGAACTTGCATAATAAACGTCACTCAATCTTGTTAAAATTATAAAAATTAAAATATTAAAAAAAATACAAAAACTAAACAAAATTTGATAAGACTATAAGAACAAATGATCACAATTTTTCTAGAAAAAACCGAAAAGAACATGTTATTCTAACCCTGTCATGTTCTTCACTGTCCAATTGTAGAGTTCACAATAAGACTAGACAAACATCTTGGTAAAAAGGTCAAAAGCTGGCGAATATCTTACATCTACTATCCCTATGAAAATTATAAGATATTTTTTTAAAAGTTAGATATTTACATTTATAATATTATAAGATGTAATTAACAATTAATATATTTTTTTTTAAAGATACTCTCAATAAGTAAATTGTTTCATATTTATTTAAAAATGAAACACCCAATTAAATAATAATAAATATGAAAAATTGATATTAATTTAAAAACAGATAACTAATTAAAAGATAAAATTCAATTAAAAATACCTTATATTTTTTTTTAAAAAAAATATTTTAAATCAAATTTTACTCTTTCAAATTACATGAATTTAAACGCTTTGCAGAGACTCCAACCATAATTACCCCCCCGGTGGAGAGACCATGGTCAATTTTATTTTGATCAAAATACTTTATATCCATGATTAATATAATATAAAAAATTAGAAAATCATTTAAAAAAACAAAAGGGAAAAAAAAAAAAGAACAGAGAGAGAAAGAGGACCAGCAGGTGTTGATCACATAACCATGTTAAGTCCGTTACCCTAATATACACATTCCAAAACTACTAATCCCAGCGACAATAAAAGGTAGTCAGCACCATAAGGAAATAAAAGTCATCGATTTCCATTTTCTTTTTCCTCAGAGATCTAAGTCAAAAATATAACTACAGAAGAATGCATTTTTTATCACATTTTTAAGCCACTGGTAGATAGATGTTATCTTGCTCGGCATTACCTTGATAGACAAAAATGAGACTGCTAAGAAAGTCCATCGCAGCAGAACAATCTAAGTTGCAAGGTACACTATATTAGGTGATAGATGACTTGCACACTGGGCACGAGGTCCTCCTACGGAGCCAAGGATCAATACACTGCCAAAATGCAGGTTAGTTAAGCAGGTTTAATATTTACTCTTCCCTAGAAGAAGAAAAAATAGAATAAGGATTAGTTGCAAGGTCATACATCTTTGTGAAATTTGTGCAAACAAGGAAGATGGCGAATGGTTTCTCCCATAACTGGAATCTCAAGACATATGGCACATGCCTCTTGGAAGTTGTCAGTCTTACAAAACAAAAATGAAGAGAAACATTAACCAGTAAGTCAGCATCAAATGTACGATTGACAGCAATGTCCAAGTGCATAATTGCCTATACCCCACTTTCACTTAAAGCTCATGTAAGCATTACCTGTATAGTGGACTGCGGCAAACTATTGATCTGATGGGCAGATGCACCAGCATGTTGGTGATTGTTCTCATCAAGGGCCAATAGCATTTCATAATCATCTCTGTATGAATGAAAGAAGTAAACCTTTAAACACATGCACAAGGGGAAATTATATCCTAATCACTTCTGGAGTTCCTGTACGGAAGAAATTTACTGCCAAAGTTCAAGTATCAAGAAGGGAATCCCGAAATGAGCATGTACGATTAAACAGCGACATATGCTGAATACTCAGTTGACAACAGCACTGTACAAATACCCTTCTCCACATTAAAACTATAATTCCAAACTTTAGTAATTAAATTTCTTCTCCTTACAAGTTACAACTACACTTAAATTTTACTTTATTATTTAAGATGGGAATTTAAGACAACTCACGTAAAAACAATAGTACAGCATATAAACAATGAACATTGTTATTGCTGCTTTCGTCCCACTGTATAGTACGTCTTACCATATATCAGATAGGAATTTCCAATACAGAAAATGAAGAGATACTAAATTACCAATTCATCCAATTGCTCATGATAAAAGTGGTGGCAGATAGCGACTCTCGCAGGCTTACAGCAGCACAGTAGCAAACCAAAATCAGTCATGGTTAAAAGTTTACACTTTACAGCACCAATGTCTCGCTAGTTCAGGAGGGTTAATGAAATTTTGTCCAAACATGAATGTAATCGTATTCAAAATCCTTGCATTTAATGCACATAAAGAACTTGTGTCAAAAAAAAAAAAAATTGAAACTTCATTCTGGACCAGAATTGCTCCCGAAGCTTCCTTAGTCCAGATGCACCATCACAGGAATTCTTGAACAAAAATGAAAAACATAATCCGGGCAAAGGTTACCAGTTTTAACATTTACCACTACATTAACATCACATTTATATCCCTATTCAAAATTCATTACTTCCATTTACAGTAACCAAATAAAAACTTAGATGTCAGCCTACAAAAATATATATATTTCCTCTTAAATGTTCTTAAGCACGTTGGTTACTATTTTTCATCCACACACAACAGATATATCAAGGAATAATTGTGCCAAGATGTCCTTTCGTAATGAGAGATACAGCAATCAACCAACACAAGAAAGAAATGTAATTGATGTCCATAAATTTATCACTAAGAGCTTACTCATTGAAGTCTCGATGAGCTTGAAACATGTCTTCAGCAATTCCCATGTCACTAATATCCCCAACTGCATCTTCCAATGCTTCCAATATATCAAGTCTCTGAACAAGAGAGGCAATTCATGTGTTAATAATTTACTCCCAATACAATACTACCGAAAACTCATGAGACAGACAAACAAATTTAGATTCATCTTTATATCCATTCCTGATATTATCTGAAGTAAGTTTTCACTCAACATTAAAATCCTATTATAATAAAAGAGCCCTCTAGCTTCACGAAATAAGGAAGCAATGCCCCCAAGGAAATGAGGAAGAAATGGTACAATACTCACAACATCTTGTGTAATAAGAAAAATTTTAGTCTAACACAAACATTCCTCTTAGTTACCTTAAAAAACTGAAACATCCAAGAGAGGTAAACTGGAGAAACAAACAATAACAGAACTGGGTGGAAAAGACAAAAAAAAAAAAAAAAATACCATGTCAAAGTCCATATCCACAGGGAACCGAAGGCGTCTTCCTCTAGTTGAGATGGCAGGTACTGAAGACCGATTTAGAATGCGACTCCTCAACTGTGATACTCTATTGGAGGAAGGGGCATGGGGCACAGCTCTCCTTCTATTTGTAGGACTTTGATGAGAACGGGATCGAGGCTGTCTATTTGAGGCTGCCCTTGATAACAATCTCTGCTTAATCAAAATCAAAAGTTCAAGAGAACATGTTAAGAAGCAATGCATGAATAGTAAATGCAATTATCTACACAGAAAATACACATGGACTTCTGTTTAAGAGAAGGGGGGGATCTCGACATTAGTTTCAAGCATAATTATAAGATGAGTTTCTTATAATTTGAGCATCATAGTAGCAGTGGTCTATATAAACAATGAAATAAAACCACTGAAATACATTAAGTCACATTCCAGGTTAGAAGCAAGTATCCCAAACTGACTCCTCACCCCTTTCCCAGGGAGGGAGAGGGAGAGAGACTTACAGGGTGTGATATATGGTGACCCTCAAAGGATGTATGCAGAAGTTCCTCCTCATGCTGCAATGCCCATGCTAAATGTTCATCAATATGCTGCATTACATATGACAAATGCTTGTGATCAGAAGCACATGCTTAGAATATATCATCGTAACAGTATATGCTTTGAATATATCGCCAAAAAAAAGTGACAATCACTAAATAACTGACCTCTCCCCCATCAACAGAATCCTCATGATATAGTTGTTCTTGAAGCTCACGGGCCAATATCTCATCAGCTTCTACCTGTCTAGCCCGAGTATCTGAGTCAATAGGATTCATGTCATCTGAATCATGGGACACTCTGTTGGTGTATGTTGCTCCAGGTAACAGCTCAACAACTTCAGAGCTTTGAGATGAGCTTAAATTTGATGATTCCCCAGGGGAATCAAGAATCATGATCTCTGAATTCAGATTTCTAGAAGTTGATGCGTTTTTCCTTTGCCTTTTAGTCAGTTTGTCTGCTGTATTACAAGATCTAGTTGACTGTTCAGCATCAGGAATGATCAGAGAAGTTGCGTTATTTTCTAGAGGATGCCTAACATCCATAGCGTTTTGACTGCTCCCAATGTCTCTTCTACCCACTCCGTTCCTACAATGCATACTAATAAATCTTTCAGAATTTTCACCTCTCCTTGAACGATGCCCAGTAACATCATGCAAGGGCCAACCAGTAGTTCTATGGTTACGTGCTGCTGTCCAGCCACCTGATCCCCCAAAGCATCCATGTGAATGTCTAATAGCATTACTGGTAAAATTGGTCTCTTCATGATCGTCCATAGGGCCGCTGAGATGACAAAAAATGCCTTAAAATTTCATGGCCTTGAAAGTTAATACATAGCAGAAGTAACAGACATTTGGCTGATACAAACATGTTGAAAATCATTAGGAAAACTTAAGGTAGATTCATGAAATGTCCTCCGTTTACAACCTCATCAAGTTTATTTGGCAAACATTATGATTCAGAATCTAGATCGACCATAAAAAAATTTCAGGCTTTTCCATCAGGATAAGCGTCAATAACTCAGTTTAACAAATATTTAATGAAAATTTCTTAGTAAAGGTAATACTAACCTATAGCTTCCACGAGCAAGCACTTAATTATATAAAGCATAGTAGCACTACCTGCTAGCAGTTTCAATAGTTCTGGCATTATGCACAATTGAAGGATGGATAAATAATTCCTTTCCCTTCACTCTGCTACTGCTTCTATCTTCAGCAACTATATCATTGATACTCACATGAGACGTTGTATTGCTAGAAACATCATCCACCACACGGCTCTGTTCAACATCATTCTGTTCAGCTGATTGTTTTGCTCTTGCTGCAATATTATAAGGTGAGATACAGCCATTTCGCACCAATCTCTTATGCCCTCTGAATCTAGGTGCAGTTAAAAGGCAAGGGGACAAAGCTGCCTGCTTTCCAGTTTTTTGTTGAGAATCACTAGATAGAACAATACTCTTTCCACGATCAACAGTTATATTTGAGCATGGAAGTGTTTCATCATCTATTTTACACCTTCCTGGTAAGGCATTGCTAGATGCATTTGAAGAATCAGGGATGCAAGTTATAGAAGAGTTCCTAATGCTAGCTTTCACATCTTTCTTGGTTTCAGTTGCATTATCCTTCAACCCATGATGTGAGAAATATGGTTTGGGTTTTTGAGGCTGTCCATTTTCTTCAGTCAAATCAAAAAGAGTAACACCTCCATAGCCATTGGAAGATGATTTAGAAGGAAATTTAAGACATATATTTTTCCCTTTCTCCATCTTTTCAGTGTGTGCGAAATCTTTACTAAAAAACTTGTCAGTTTGGGATCTCCTAAATATGGGATCATTTTGAGAAGTATAGGAATTATTTGATGGGGAAGCAGCCATGCATTTATTCATTTCACCACTGTTTGAATCATTTGAAAGACAGAAAGTCAATCTTCCATTACTGTTTTCAGCAACAGGGGGAACCCTCTCACCCTTCTCATTCACACAGACATCAGGATTTCCAACATATTTTCTACCTACACGCCTAGTAGTTAATCTATCAGGAGTGTCAGGAACATCCACAATTTGATCAATCTCCATATCGTCCATATTTTCTTCTGTACCACATACAAAGTTCAAAACAGTTATATAATGAACGAGTGAACCATAAAAGATCAAAAAGAACCAGCTCAATTCCACAATATGATAATGCTCGGAGAATGATAAGAGCCTAACAAAATGAATAAAGAGGCAGAGATAAATATGAACATGGAAAGGAGGATCTTAACGTGGCATCCTAGCTACATTATGGACCTGATAAGCAATTCTACAAGAAATGAAATCCCTCAAGACGGAACGAAATCAGAATTTCCGCTTAAAAAATCTTTCTTGTACTTTATTAGCTCAGGAGGCGGACTCGGAAATTAAGTTTAGCAGCGGTGAGTGGCATCCAAGCAGTTATAAGCAATAACGTAGAATTTTATACCTCTAAACATGGACTTTGCGCAAAAGGGAAAGATTATGACAACTTAAAAAAGGAAAGAAAAAAAACAAAACGAGACAGTTCCAGTTCATCAAAAGAAAAAATGAATACAACGAAATCTAAAGAAAGAAGTTGCTTTACATTACTCGCCCCATGTAAAAGAACCAAACAAACGTCATATATTAAGAAAAAATAACGGTTGTGTGTTAATACTAGCTGAAAATAAGAACCAATGAATGAACTTAACTTTTTGAAACAACCCATAATAGGGTCTGACAATAATTTGTAAAAAGAAACACCGGACACCAAAAAATACGCAAATAAAATGAATCTGAATAACGACTAGAAATATTGAAACTCGTTAAATCTATCTATTCAGATGAGAAAAAGTAAACGATCAAACAGGGAAAAAATTTAAATAAAAAAGGGAAATTTGATGACAAGGAAGATGAAAGAGAAATCGGACAGCTCAAGAAAATGAATCGCAGTAGAACTAGCAAAAGAACAATCCACCAAAACGGACAATATAAAAAGAGATAAGGATAGTGAGAGATAAAGATTGCATGGATATTTGATCAATTGGAAATTCAAAAAACAAATTACAAAATATCGGGAAAAAGATAATATTACCCAGTTATTGGATCGATTCGAACTTCAAACACAAAGGACGAGTCCCGAAAGACGATAATGATAATGAACTCTTACGCTGAATGGAATCGCCGATGGATGTGTGCGCATTGCAGAACACCATCGCTTCCAACGACCTGGTGTTTGGCCAGATGTCGGGTCGGTTTATTCGCCCGCATGCATCGGGTAAAAAATCCTTTCTCCAGAAATGAAATTATCTGTCAAGGCCCAAAAATCTAACGGAATGATCTAGGCCCGTGCAGAGCCCGCATATTGAACAATTCTCGTTTGTCCTTGTTCCAGCCGCCATGGTACTTGGGTCTCAATCACCTTAGTTTAGTTACTTTTATGAGTTGAAGAGCAAAAAAGTCATGAATTTTTTTTGATAAAAGATGCTTAGTATTCTAAATTTTTTATTGGAGCAATGTCACCTTACAAAAAAGGAGCAATTTTATCCTATCCTTAACTCTTGCCAATATTGACTGTTAAAGAAGTTATTTAATCTAAAAAAAATTAATGTAAAATGAAATGGAATCTAGAAAGGAAGATTTGGACCTTGATTCACATTCGTTGATGGGAGTGGGGTAAATTCAGCAACAACATCACCAATCCACCACTATTAATTGTCACAATCAGCAATACTTGTCATCAAAGTTGACCCCAGGCTTAAGCTCGTATGTTAGTAGCTTCTTCCTCAGACTGTAAAGGGCGTCCTAAATTAGGACTTAATCATCACACTAATCATGGTAATCAAGAACTAACCCAAATGGATTATTTATTACGAGATTAACCTAAATGAATTCTTAACATGTATTTTTTTTACAAACTATTTAATACAAAGGGATCCCAAATCTTTAAAATATTTTAAAACTCATATCATTTAATTAAACATATGCGAAAGCATGATAATAACTATTTTTACCTGCACAAATATTTTGGCCTGTAATTATAGCACAAGCATCAAACCACATTCCTCATGGCCCAAAATACATTCTCTTAATAATACTTGTGTAAGGCTTGTACAAGAATTTTTTGTGCTTGAAAGTATTTTTTATAGCTCTTTTTGCTCTGTACATGCCATCATAAATATAGCCAGGTAAAGGCCGCTCATCAGAATCAATAATTCTCAACAATCTCACAAGTGGTTTTACAATTTCAACAATAATTTTACAATTATTCCAGAACTAATTGTCCAATACAATCATTATCATATCCTTTGCCTTTGAATCCTTATAGTATCTAGATTCTACAAATGTCTTGCTTGTTATCAAAGCTTGAATATCATGCTTGTGCTCATAGATACTTTTCAAGGCAATGAAAGTAGTGGCAAATCATGTTACACCAGGTTGGATTATTTTTGTCTAACCTTCTCTTTTCCTTAACCAAGCTAGCAAAAAGACATGGTTGTAAATGAATTTCAAAACCACGAATGCACGTGTTGCTAAGCTATTAACAATCTCCAAGTTGCCAATATATGATAAAATCAAATTTAAGCAATGGCAGCACAAGGAACCAGAAAATAAAAGGAAACTTATCATTTAACAACCTTCCAGCAGCTTTGTAATTAGCTGCATTATCAGTTACCAAGTGGATAACATTGTCCAGCAAAAGCAATTATATCCATGAATAAGTTGTAAAGATTTTGAGCATCCTTAACAATATTCAATGCATCAACAGATTAATGAAAACCATTCCTCTAGAGCAGTAAACAAGAAAATTAATCAACTGTCTATTTCTTTGATCATGCCAACCATTAGCCATTATTGTACATTCAGTCTCAGCCCAAAAGCTTCTACATTCATCAACCAATAATTGCACCTCCTTTCTCATATCTTGCAATAATTTGGTTCTCACAGCATGGTAAGTTGGTCCTTTATAACCAAGGCCAATAGCTAAAATAGCATCTATCATGGGCTGATGGTAAACAGAATTTACAGCATTCATAGGAATGCAACAATCATACAATCACCTAACCACAGCTAAATCCACTCTATGCAAAGCTTCTTTACTTGCAAATGCACTTTAAATTCTTGGTTGTGCTCCTAAGCTTGTCCTTGGGGCAAACAATTTGTCTCCAGCTACAAATGCTTTTTTTTTTGACTAGTTGAGAGGAACTCGAAGGAATTATTTTTTGCACAATTTCATCATCCACTTTCAATGGATTGTCCTCTTCTTTTCTCAATTTCTTAGCTGGTCTCTTTTGATCAATTTCTTTTAAGTTTTCCTCCAATCGATAGCGAACATCATGTGGCACACTTTTACAACTAGTTGCATCTCCTTTTTTTCCAGCAAAGTGTTGTTTCATTCTGTATATTCCACCACCATCAAATTCCTTTCTATAGTATAGGCATCTTAAGCGAGGTTTGCCACCTTTTTTATTTGGCATTTCAATGCAATACTCCCATATAAGATCTGACTTAGCTTTAACAAATTGTGTAGATGCAGTACTAGATATTTATTCTGATGATATTTTTTAAATTTAAATTGAAAGCACAGATAAAATGTGAAAAAGAGAGCAGAGCTAGGAATTAGATCATATTCAAAATTCCATATCAATAAATAATAAAGCAGAGCCAGGCTGGAGTCTTGGACGAATCATGCATACGTACAGCTCATTATACAAACTCAAATACATAGATGGAACTTATTAGCTAGAAATTGAACTTGGAAGGAGAACAGAGCACATCAAGAATCAAACAAGCTGGAGCAAAATGAGAATCACACAGAGGCAAAGGCACGGGCTGGAGTTGGGAGGAGCTGGAGGCAACTCGAGTGGAGGCAGAGGCAGAGGTACGAGCTCAGAGTGGCGAGCAAGATGAGAATGGCTGAGAATGGCAATGAAAAATCTGGGTCTAGGCTGAGAATGGCAAGCTAGATGCGAGAAGGAGATGAATCAAAATTTCAAATTTGAAGCTTGATCAATTGATTATTGGAGATGAGAAATAGAGAAAGGCAAGAGAGAGACCAGACTCACCAGAGGCGCGAGATGGTGAGTCGATGAGAGATGAGTCTTGAGCTCTGAGACTAAGTTTGAAGGTGTGAGAGTGAGAGTGAGACTAACTCTGTGAGTGGGAAAGGTTAGGTCAGGCGAGCTGCGAAAGTGAGATGGCGAGAGTGAGCTCTCAGCTAGTCAGCTCTCAGGCTCTCAGCTCACGTTTGTACGTCTGTGGAGTCTAGACTCTATCAGAGGGGCGAGACGGCATGACGGTGATTGTCGGTCTGTGGCTCTGTGTCTGTGGTTTGTGCTTTGTGCCTTTGTTTCTTCAAACTTCAACTTCATTTCTTAAGTCTTAGTCTCTTCTTGGACAAGTTGCGTACATACGGTGATAGAAGCCCCAATTTTTTTTTCACTTGACCCGAATTGACCCATGTTGAACCGGCCCCAAGTTCCGGGTCAACTCCGATTCAATGAAAACCGAACGGTTTTGTTCGGGTCAATTCGATCCAATAGCTTAAGTGGTTCAATTGGTTGAACCAGACCGCTTTACTCAGTGGGTGATGGTCGGACCGTTCAGTCTGATCTGGGTTTGACATCATTAGTTTAAAACATTATAAAATATTGTAATTAATCAAACAAGGAAAATACATAAACTAAAATTTTTTAATTATTTTAAACTTTTAAAAGGTTAAAAGTTCATCCTTTAATGCTAATATTCTTTTAAAACTATTTCCAAGCTTGGACGGTTTAAAAAATAATTAACTTTTAATTAATCGTGTCAGATATTATTAATACCATCATAATATATTTCTCACTCTTAATTCTAACACTTTAACTATTCAAAATTCATAATAACTAATATTTAAATAATACTTTGAAAAGGCATCCTATACCATGGATCGGAATACTATATATTGTACTTGAAGCTAGCTTGCAGTTTGAGATTCACACATCTCAATGCTTGAACAGTGTCTTAAGTGATGATAATCTCAGTTCTGCTTCCATCAATGACTTGTTTATTCTATAATAAAAAAAAATCTAATAACAAGAGCTTGACCAATCAAATTATTTTGCTTGGTTAAGTTGTAAAAAATAAAATAATATATATATATATAATTTTAGATTCTTATACTGTATTTATATTTTAATATTAATTTCTATATTTTTTTAATATTTTTAATTTTTGTACTTTTATTTTTTATATATCCCTCAATGAATAAAATATAAAAATTTACAATAATAAAAAATAAAAAATATATGAATTAAAAATATAAAAAAATAAGGATATATAATAATAATGTGAATAAAGTATCTAAAGTTATATTTTTCAAAAGAGAAAAATGTTTAGGTCATGAATGAGACCCAAATGCAGACACCGACGTCACCATTTTGTTCTAGCCTCTAGGTTTTCTTGATCAGTGAAATAGAAATATGGCACATTTATAGACGTCACTTGTTAGATACCATTTCCATCAAGCAGTATGCTGCACAGTGAAATTATTTCTGGCAATCCATGACTGGTGTCTTTTGTCTCTGACATGGATCATGTTTTCAAGCGTTCCCTCTTTTCCGGATAATTTAGGCGTTTCTATTTTTGTTTTATAATAATCTAAGCGTTTCTGTCTGATTACACCGGGTGGTCGGGGCTTGTACTTTTCTTAACTTCATGTTTCTTCATACTCTTTCGTAGCCTTTTGAGCTTGTCTCACTTGAAGTACAAATTAAAATTATTCAGTTGCCTGATGTCAAGTTTAAGAAGTGACGAAGCATTTTGAAGTTTATCCAGTTGATTGTGAACACATGTATAGAGCGAGATGTGAATAAAAATTTTGCTTTGAATAATCCAACATAGATTAGCCTTACAATACAGATAAAATGTGAGGTGTTCAAGTAAGAAATGAATATTATATATAACCCATCGACATCGTAATCTTTACATTGCAAACTGTTTTGCACTCTAAACTGAAGACATTAACACAGACCAACTTTCCATAAATAAAGCGGATACATTTTCATGAGTCATTACGCTGTAAATAAAAAAAAAAAATGAAGAAACCATCCAAGAGAGCCACAAAAAGTGGAAGTAGTAGAAATTTTTCACTATTGGGCCACTAGTTTTCTGGGTAAGCTATAAGGCCTCTTAGTTAATAGCCAGGCTGTGGAGAACCACAGTCTCAACGGTGAGACCAGGCCCAAACCCAAACAGAACACCCCATTCAAGCCCTTCACCGGTAGTCTTGAGACCGTCTTGAGCAGACTTCCTCCTCATCTCGTCCAAAATAAACAACACGCACGCACTCGACATGTTCCCGTACTCGCTCAGCACGTGCCTCGTTGCCCTCATCTTCTCGGGCTTCAAGCTCAGCTTCGCCTCAACCTGGTCCAGAATCGCAGGCCCACCCGGGTGAGCAATCCAGAAGATGGAGTTGTAATCAGAGATCCCCAACGGCTGGAACGATTCCACCAAGGCCTTCTCAATGTTCTTGGAGATGAGCCCCGGAACGTCCTTGAGCAGATGGAAGGTGAGGCCGACCTCGCGAAGATGACCGTCAATGGCTCCCTCACTGTCCGGCAAAATGGTCTGAGCCGTCCACACCAGCTCAAACAGAGGCTTCTCCACGGGCAGGGGGTCGGAGCCCACAATGACGGCGGCAGCACCGTCTCCGAAGAGGGCTTGGCCCACTAGGCTGTCCAGGTGGGTGTCGCTGGGCCCGCGGAAGGTGACGGCGGTGATCTCTGAGCAGACGACGAGGACGCGAGCTCCCTTGTTGTTTTCGGCCAAGTCCTTGGCGAGACGGAGGACCGTGCCGCCGGCGAAGCAGCCTTGCTGGTACATCATGTAACGCTTGACAGAAGGGCGGAGGCCGAGGAGCTTGGTGAGCTGGTAGTCGGCGCCGGGCATGTCCACGCCGCTGGTGGTGCAGAAGATGAGATGAGTGATCTTAGACTTGGGCTGTCCCCATTCCTTGATAGCTTTGGTGGCCGCCTCTTTCCCCAGCTTGGGCACTTCCACCACTACCATGTCCTGTCTTGCATCCAAAGAAGGTGCCATGTACGCGCACACGTTAGGGTTCTCTTTGAGGATTTCCTCGGTCAAGTGCATGTACCTCTTCTTGATCATTGACTTTTCGCCTGAAATGTTAATTCGATGGTATATGTCAGATATTTAGGCAAACACGATTTGGGGATCTGTTCGTGTCATTAACAATTTCAACTCATCAATTATTACATTTTCTGGACAATTTTGATGAATTTTCAATGCAGGCTTATTCAACGACCTTCTTAAGCAAAACTTCTGGTCAAACATTTTGGATTAAGATTTCTCAACCACTTTGTCCCCTTGTTGAGTTTTTATTTTTATTAATACTCATTTTAAGTGACTTTTTTAATACCAAAAAAAAAAAACAGCTAATAACATTATATGTCTAAGAATATAATCAACAAAAAGGCCTTCTGCCGAAGTGTGTCTTGTCTTATTTCGTCATCATCAAAAAAGCACATAGCGTTGGATCTGTTGAATAGTGTTATCTGGTTCGTTTTAATTGGTTAACTCCCCGCATTATGTGTGTGAGAAATAAACTTTCAGTAATTTACAAATACCCCTCTCATCTTATTTATAAAATACCTTTAAAATTAATTGTTAGTTTAAAATATATAACATCTTATAATAATTAAATTATTTTTTTAATTTTATTTTTTTAATTAGTGTGAAAATATTTAATGGGGTTATATTATTATTTACAGTTAAGGATAAATATAAAAGAACCTCTTACCTTTTCATGATATCAATAAAAAAAATTAATTTTTTTAATATATGTGAAATGATTTAAAAATATTTTATAATAAAAATTAAGGGAAATACACCATGTGCAACAGAAGTTACCAGCAGCAAAAAGAGAAGGATCAAGAAAGAACATGCAGGTAGAGAAGACAGAAAAAATCTATCTATTAAGGACGAGTTTGAATGACTGTCAAAAACACACTCAAACTTTATTTATGATATACTCTTGTCAAATTCAATCAATAAATAGTTGGAGTTTCAAATATGCTATTGTCAGATATATATAAATTGAAAATCAAATACACATTAAAGTAGGATGAAAAAATATAGGCATGAAGAAGAAAAAATAACAGAGAGAGACGGATACATACACATGCGCTTGAATTTCTCTTTGAGCTCGGTCTTGTGCTCGCTGTCGGTGATTCTGAAGTAGTAATCAGGATAGGTACTCTGATCAACACAGTTTGGTGGAGTGGCCGTTCCTATGGCCATCACTGTCGCTGGCCCTTGTGCTCTCTGAGCATTTCTGATCTCGTCAACGCTCACCATGATGCTCTCTTTCTGAGTTTGCTCTGCAAGGAAATATTAATTAGGTGTAGCAACGTAACCTAGCTAGCCGGGTAGGGATGAAGGGAAGATTGTGTAAGTATGAATTAATGAAAGTGGTATGGCACACTACACAGAGGGGTTGAGAGGGCTAAAGGGTGTGTGCTGCGAAATGGTAGGGGAAGGGAGGTTAGCTTTTTATATGCGGTTTGCGGGGAAGTTGATGAGGAGAGTGGTAGATGAACATCACGTGCCTCGCTAAACTCTTACTTTTGGAGATGTACTTTCAAGCCTTAACCCCACGTGACGACATAAGTTGTTGGCAATTGTAGCGCAACCCTTCCCCACATCTTAATTGCTATCCTTCTTTCTTTGAGTTTTTACTCCCCCCAAACTAAAATTAATTCGTCAAAATTTCATATTTTTTAAAGTAAAATTATTTTTATTAGAGAAACTAATAGAAGTAAAACAAGTTGTAAAAGTCTAGTATTGTACCCTCTAGTCTAGAATATAATCAATTTAGTTTTTGTATAAACTTTTTTCCATTTTTTAATTTACTTTTTTTTTCCAATTTTTCCACTGTAATTATTAACCTGTATTTTTGTGTTTATATCGAATTTATGATTTTTTCTCACTCATCATAAATTGAGATTAAAAGTGAAATGAGAAAACAATATATTTTTATAAGAATAAAAAATTTATTGATTTGCGAATTATTGTTGCATGAGCGTAACTTTTAAATTACAACAACGTTTTGGCCAGTAATAAATACAACAAGTGGTTTAGTACTTTTGTAGATTAGATGTACTCCTTCCTGTCCTATTTGTATAACATCTTTTAAAAATAATTTTTTGTCTATAGAATATTTTATAATAATTAAATTACTTTTTTTCAGTCTTACTCTTTTTTGATTAGCATAAAAGCATTTAATATAATCATGTCATGATTTAAAATTAAGCGTAAAAATAAAGTAATAATTCCCTTATAATATTAAAAAAATAGATTAACTTTTCTTAAAATGCTTAGCTAAAAATATTTTACAATATATACGCAACAGGTATTACTTTGTTTTAATAATATTAATAATTGTGCACTGGTAGGTGGTCGATTGAATTGTCAGCTTGTCAAGGTTATGCTCTCGTATTTCTAATATTTAAAATGATTTTTTCCCTATTGCGTAGGGCTGAGCTCAATCTATTGATACGTGGAAGCATTACAATAAAGAGATTAATCTTATGAATACATAGGGATGTGACTATGGGGAAAAAAAAATCTTATGACGGGATGTTATTTGAGCTGGCACGTGGTAATTTAGACAAAGGGTGTGACCATGATATATGGCGATATTCAAAGCTAGTCATGGGGGATAGTTATAAATGATTTTTTTTTTGGGATAAAAGATTGCGTGATGTGATTAAAGAGGATTTCGTAATACAGTATATATATTCGATTATTGATGATAAGTTGTGAACATATAAATAAATACGCACACGTATACCTATGTATGACCATTGTAAAATTCGTTACGTACGACCCGCTGGTGTGTGGTCGTGTATATTTGACCCTACAATCAACTTATACAAATATATATCAGATCAAATACTTCTTAGTGTATTCTATTGATTTAAATTTCTTGCGATGCACTCAAAATTGAGTAACTGATGACATGTACTATGATAAACAAAACCTGTTAAAAGATAAAGACATAAAGTATTATCTAACAAGACCCTTTAGTTGTCCTTTTTCTTTTTTTTGGCCAAAACAGAATCACTATACCCTTTAGTTGATGTTTCCAGGTTAGTATATATGGGTTATTAACGATGATTTGCTATTGAATCAAGTGTCTTCAAAGGCTTTTCTTCCTGACTTAAAAATGTCTTCGTTTATTAATCTGTTTTGGTCGTATTATACTATGCTTCAGTGCCTTCGATCTTATCTCTAGTCTGACGTATATTAAATCAAATTCATTGGTGCGGTGAACTGGTGAGAGGCAACGTACACATATGCCTAACCATTTTGCATGCTTCAAAAAGTAACTTTATTTTGAAAGTAGACTGTTCCATTTCAATATTTTAGAGATTGTAATTATTTTCAAAAAAAAAGAAGAAGAAAAAGAAGAAGACTTTAACTACAAGTTAACCATCAAGCTTTTGGCCGGGTAGTTTGCATGACGACGAATATAAATACGTGCACATAGGGCACCACGCACGAAGTCAAGAAAACAAAAATGTTATTGCAATTGTTGCGGGTTTCGGACAACAATAATCGCGCTTGAACTTACGCGTGGATCTTTGATTTTAAAAGCTAGCTAGCTCGTTGCCATTTACATGCATGTCAAAAACTACTTATTCATGTACCGAGTCGTTAACAATGAAGTATTCTTTTTCGATAACAGTAATAGTGAAGTATTTTTAATCACTTTGATTCGGTATTAATAATGAACACTTGGCCGCCAAAAAGGAAACTGTTCTGACATTGTAGTTCTCGTTGGATCGTTATTTTTGACCATATTAAATTTTTTGCTTTGCCTTCTATCAACAACTTTGCAGTCCACTTGCAGATATTCTACGTTATGACCCACCAACCCACCCATTCGGTCAAAACCTCCAACTGTCTGCCATATCAAGCGCATTAATTGCTATATTCTTCAGTCGTCAGTCTGACTCTGACCCATAAAAAACCCCAGTAGTACTTCAATTTTTTGACTATTCAACGTTGCTGTATATTACAATTGCTTCGTCTATTTGAAAAAGGAAAGAAAATTTATATTCATATGCATACTTGGATCATGCATGTTTGGTACAAGCGGTCTACAAACTCGTGCGTTTATTTTGCCACCAAACTCCTACATCACCACGAGCCTGCAACTTCCACAGCATTTCATGCTGGTGAAGCACGTGCTCTAGATTAAAGTTATAAATAAGGGATAGACCCAATCTCAGCCTGTCTCAACAACCTCATAACACATATCACACATACTTTGTCCTCCCTCAGTACTTCTTTATATTTTCCGTCAAATCTCTTCCTGTTTAGAGAAGAAACAGAGGAAAACATGGTGAGTGTTGACGAGATCCGCAAGGCTCAGAGAGCAGAAGGGCCGGCCACAGTAATGGCCATAGGAACAGCTACTCCACCGAATTGCGTTGATCAAAGTACTTATCCTGATTACTACTTCAGAATTACTGACAGCGAGCACAAGACTGAGCTCAAAGAGAAATTCAAGAGAATGTGTAAGTCTTTTTTATTCTTCAATTTTTTAATTTGCCTTTTAGGGAAGTTAAAATGTTACTCGTATACCCAGATTCGATCGCTAGTCGAGTGTGCATGCGTTTCAATATTAATTTATGATATCCCCTCCAACAAAAGTATCCTAATTGCAACCTGCAAATTTCAGGCGAAAAGTCAATGATCAAGAAGAGGTACATGCACTTGACCGAGGAAATCCTCAAAGAGAACCCTAACGTGTGCGCGTACATGGCACCTTCTTTGGATGCAAGACAGGACATGGTAGTGGTGGAAGTGCCCAAGCTGGGGAAAGAGGCGGCCACCAAAGCTATCAAGGAATGGGGACAGCCCAAGTCTAAGATCACTCATCTCATCTTCTGCACCACCAGCGGCGTGGACATGCCCGGCGCCGACTACCAGCTCACCAAGCTCCTCGGCCTCCGCCCTTCTGTCAAGCGTTACATGATGTACCAGCAAGGCTGCTTCGCCGGCGGCACGGTCCTCCGTCTCGCCAAGGACTTGGCCGAAAACAACAAGGGAGCTCGCGTCCTCGTCGTCTGCTCAGAGATCACCGCCGTCACCTTCCGCGGGCCCAGCGACACCCACCTGGACAGCCTAGTGGGCCAAGCCCTCTTCGGAGACGGTGCTGCCGCCGTCATTGTGGGCTCCGACCCCCTGCCCGTGGAGAAGCCTCTGTTTGAGCTGGTGTGGACGGCTCAGACCATTTTGCCGGACAGTGAGGGAGCCATTGACGGTCATCTTCGCGAGGTCGGCCTCACCTTCCATCTGCTCAAGGACGTTCCGGGGCTCATCTCCAAGAACATTGAGAAGGCCTTGGTGGAAGCGTTCCAGCCGTTGGGGATCTCTGATTACAACTCCATCTTCTGGATTGCTCACCCGGGTGGGCCTGCGATTCTGGACCAGGTTGAGGCGAAGCTGAGCTTGAAGCCCGAGAAGATGAGGGCAACGAGGCACGTGCTGAGCGAGTACGGGAACATGTCGAGTGCGTGCGTGTTGTTTATTTTGGACGAGATGAGGAGGAAGTCTGCTGAAGAGGGTCTCAAGACCACCGGTGAAGGACTTGAATGGGGAGTGTTGTTTGGATTTGGTCCTGGACTCACTGTTGAGACCGTGGTTCTCCGTAGCATAGCCGTATGAAATTTTCTAAGAGCTTCAATTTTGATTTTTTCCTTTAGCATAAATAATATATCTACTTACCGTTATGCTTCAGTTATTTATGAAAGAAAATGTGTTTATTTTCTGTTTATTTATATGTAAATGTGCCCCAATCAAAATTTAGGTTTGGAGTCTCTAATATGCCATTCTTTGATGTTTTTTTGTAATATTCTAATTTTTTAATTTTATTTTTCTTTTTTTTTTCCACTAACTGGATCGAATTTGAATTTTGTAATTATACGCAGCATAAGCATTGAGTACATATATAGTATCTTAATCATTGAAATCCTGATTAATAATTCTAGATTCATATTTAATTTTATTTGAGACTAATAAATGAGTGAATTTATTTAAATGATTGATTTGAATTTCAACAATTCATATGCTACAAGCATTGAATGCACCGAATCCAAATTTCATTAATTTCTACATAAGATAAAAAACAATTTGATATCTTAAAATTATAAAACAATGAAAATCTTTATCATTTTGAGATTTCAAAACATCAAAATATTTTTTCATTTATATAGAAGTTAATTACTTAAAAGATAACAAAAATCAAATTGGAAAGGTGGGAGTTGAAACATTACATGGACATTAAAAAATGACATATTATTAGAGGGCCAAGCCCTCAAATTTCATGCTATAACTTGTGTGTTTAGGGCAAATGTAATTCAACAGAATACAAGACAATAACAGACAGTATTCTACATATATATGCAGTATTATTTTTTTAACAAAAAACCATTGCTAGTGTCACTTCTAAATATTCCTTTTTATTTATATCATCTCATTTATAAATAAATGCAAATACTTCCCATGCGATGGACGATGTTTTCGAATAAACGATAAGGACGAGTAAATTATAAAGGCATACACGAGAGAGATGGTGGCTTGAGGACCAGAGTTCAACATACAGCAAATATAATTGTTCATTTAGCAAGTGAGTCAATTAATAATATTCCAACGAAATCAACAAACACATAAAAACAGCAGTTACCTGATCAAGACTTTGGCTCTATATATGGGGGCAATGATTTATTTATCCGGTGCTTGAAACTATAAGTGGAAATTAAAGAAAATAGATAATATATGGAACTAGATTACGTATTCAGGTTTGAAAGCCCGTAGTATAGAATATTCTAAAAACAATCATGGTGGGATCCTATATTTACAGAAGGATTAATTCTCCATCACTGTTCTGTGCGAAAAGCGATTAACGCAGCGCGAGGCACGACCGTAATACAATATGGATAGAATAGGTTTGATTTATGTATTGTTCAGAAATACTTGTATATGGGTAAACTCTAATGCGGTGCTTGGCTCAGAAAAAAAAAAAAAAGAGAGAAAATAAGAGGATAGAAAATGGGGAGGAGAAAAAATTGGAAAAGAGAAAAATTGTTAATTTCAAAAGGACAATGACAACCTTATTATTTGTATAAAAGTATTTATATATAATAAAATTCAATATCTTAACATATTATTTATATAATTTTTATAATATATTACTGATGGAATAAGAATATAATTGTAAATTATTTTATCTGATGCTAGCAAAAAAAACATAATTTTGTCCAATTTTAAATTTTATTTATTAAATTATTAAATATATAATAATATAAATTCTAAAGCAGAGGGAAAACTAGGATGAAGATAAAAAGAAACAATCGGCATGAAAATAAAAAAAATTTGTGTATAAATTTAAAAATTGAGTTTTCTCTCATAAATCTCTCCAGTCTCCATATTTTTTTTTTAAAAAAAAAGAAGTTGAAAGTAAAACTGGGTCTTACATGTTATTTTTCTCTTCCTTCTATTTTTCTCTTCTTAGTCAAGTGAGGGAAAATGTCAGCTTCTCTTTCATATTTTTCTTCCTCCTAATTTCTCTCATGCCAAGCACATTATAAGTACGCATGCTGGCTTTATAGTTAAGATATTAAAAGGATTAAATAGACCTGCCAACTTTGAATTTGTCATTAAGTTCAATCAAGACAAATCAAATGTTTATTATATTTCCATCACAAAAAAAAAAAATGTTAGCTATTGCAGTGCTTTTTAATTTCTTGATGATTGCCGTCCAATACTTTTAAATATACAAGGTCTCAAGAGCTTTTAGCGCTTATCCATGAGAATCTTAATACATAAGTTGTACGAAACTCGCAGGAACTATCCCAGTGTGACCCCTAGGCTGCATTATTATATAAATTATAAAACTCTTACACGTCTTTATCAAAATTCATGTAATATGTTATTGCAGGTCTCTACATATGTTAAGGTGTTCAAGCCACCTGACCAAGCCATCTTACATGATACTTGATGATTATAATATATATTTCCGAGCATATTCGAATTCAATGTATTGGCATGACCTTTATAAAACCTTGTATGTGGAGTATATTTTATATATGTCAATGAATGAGAGGCAGCTATATTTCCCAGGAATGGGTTTTGCTAAAAAAAAAAAAAAAAAACAGAGAGAGAGGAAAGACGGTATATATTTTTGTATAATTAATGAGAGAATGATAAAAAGGTCCCCCTTAATTTAAATTAGGTTTCTAATGCCAAATTCTATAAATTTACAAATTTAACTCTCAATTTTATAATTTTATTATAATAAATTTATAACTTATGTTCTAAATTTTAACAAGAAAGACAATTTTGTTTTTTTTAATCATGTTAAAATTTAAAAAATAAATTTTAAATTCATCACAATAAAATTATAAAATTAAGAGAGAACTTATAAATTTTTAGAGTTCAACACTTAAAACCTAATTTAAAATAATTGATCTTATTGGAACTTATCTACCATTCTTCCATAATTAATTACCATAATTTTGATTAATAGTTTCAGAGAAGGCGAGGACTGAGGAGTGAACGGTGGGAAGTTGTCTCTCTCCTCCGTCTCCTTTCATTGGCCAGGTCAAAATAAAAATCTCCTTTCATTGGTCCAAAGTTGAAATATTGCCGCAAAATGATTCGTTGTCTCCTCTTAACTACTCATTAAAATTAATGTATTCTAAGTTAAATTCAATAAAATATTTCCGGAAAAACACCTCCACCTAACTTGATATTTTTTATAAATAATTTTAAGATACAAATACTTTAAATAAATTTATTTCATGGTGCTCATTCTCAATAGCAACTCTTCGCTTGATTTTGTTAATTCCCATTTTTTTAATGAAAAATCACGCTCAATTTACTATATTGAAGTTATTAATTACCATTGGATAGTTGTTAATGTAGTTGTTCAGTTGACAATCAAGCAATAATAATTAACAATTAACAACTATTTAATAATTGACATAATTTTATGATTTTGTGAGACTTCTCTCTGTAATTTAAATTTCTTTTGTGAAATTTTAATGTGATTTCCACTTATTTTTATCAACCTATCATGGTATTTATGTTTTGTTGTTAATGGTTCATTTTTTTTTTTTCCAAAAAAAGAAGCGCTGCCAGTGCTGTAAAAATACTATCACCTCCATTAAACTTCATCTCCTCTTTATAATGTTTAGTTTCTTGTATTGTTAAGGTAAGCATAATTAAAGACGAGGACAGGGTAATAATGAAAACAGTTTCTTAAATAACTATCTTGAATTGTTGAGATTTAATTACTTGCCACAGACATATGTCCCCCGAAAGGAACCTTGCATCATCGGCTAATATCTTCAGCCCCATCTGTTGAAATTTCAAAGGTAATTGAGTGTTCAATAAATTTGAATATGTTGTTTTCAGCTCTTGTTATTTTAATTTATCAAATTATCTTTGTTGAATTTATACCACGGATATCAAACAAAAGGCTTCGCACAGGCAACGATATCGTGTTTGAAAAGGATATATAATATAACTATCGAAGTAATTTTAAAATATCTGATTTAATATTATAAAGTATTTTTAATCGAGTTAAATTCTTAATGAGTTAGGTAGTACTTAGTTGTCTTTAAAATTATATTTTTTATATTCACTATTATTTAATAGGGTATCTCAAATAAAAAATTTTATTAATTACACCTCTTATTAAATATATTTTTGGAAAACATCATTAGTTATATTTCAAAAGACTTAAAATAATTTATAAATTTGAACACTTTACCTAACAAAACATACCTTGTAATTTATTTTTAAACAGAACTGTATTAAATGGTTCATTATTGTTCATTAATTTAGTGGTTTTTTTGGCCAGAACATTAATTTAGTAGTTAATCATTATAAAATTTAAAATACATGTACAAGATACAGTCCCTATTTATAAGTTGTGAAAGTACATCTTGAGAAGACCTCATAAAGTTTTCTATTTTAATTTGGAAACCTCCACATAATTTATTGGTTTTTACGCAACTTTTTTATTCTTTTAACTCATTGCATTTTAAGTTTAAACATTAATGCATCAATTAAAAGTAAATACAAAATTAAAAAAATTGTTATTATATATCCATCCCTGCATCACACCCAAAAAAAAAAAAAGAAGACGTCTAATTACTTATATAGTCATCAAAACAATAAAAAGGATATCCTAAATAATGTTTGTGGCGGTATTTGAAGCACCACGTAACCAATTAATCAGATCTGCCGTTTTAATAGACCGCGTCACATGTCATATTCATTTATTTTCACGTAAACGTAACAAGAAGCTATGACCCTTGACTCGTCTATAGCCATATGCACATATACATATACACACATATATGCGTTTCTTAATTTATATAAAAAATTAGATCACTCATAAACTGTTGCTACAGGTAAAAGAAAAGCATAAACCGTTGCCTAAATTACAGTGCGGATCATTTTAAACTATATGCAAATTAGAAGATCCACACTAATTAACGTAGATTAATTAAGATCAGTTAGTTAATTAATACATCCTAATTTACAAAAAAAAAAAAAAGACGTAGGGGCGAGGGAATAAAGAAAAGTTCAATTCTAGCGGGTCAAAAGTTCAAATCAATGCGATTAAAAAACAAGTAATGATAAAAAGAATGGAGTGGTTGGCTGGGGGCGCGCATAACATACTGAGGTTGACTCGGCATATACGTGAGAGAACGGAGTCTACAAACTTCAAAGCAGTGCCAATATTTTCCACCAAACTCTTCCATTTCTATGCAAGTGGTGTTGCATTGCAACCTTACCATTATTGTGATTATAATAACGTAATATTGGTTAA